CTATTGTGCTAGAATTGAAGATAATAAATAGAAAAATGAAATGGAAAAAGAGCCACTCCTTCCTCTTATCTAGGATATTACTTTTCTAAGCTATAAGAAAGTACTGGCAGAGTTTATAGATTTCTGGATTTAAACTTTTACATTAAAGAATTCAGCCTATTCAGAAGGTAACTTTGTACATTAGCTTTTATAACAGATATAAATCTCTTCAATTTTACCTCAGATGATCTAAGCATTGGCGAATATGAAGGTACAAAGACACTTCAAAGAAGAAACATATTAAAAAATAAGTCTAGTTTCAGTAAATGTAATGTGCCATCCTCATGTCAGGATGCAACTTAAAGAGTTTTTTTTGTGCATGTAAATCACTTTTTTCCCCACAGTCTTAAATCCATCCTTGTTTTACATGTTAATTTTCTGCTAGACTTACTGATTACAGAAAGATGCCAATTTTTCCACCTTTCTGCCTAGCTTTTAGCTCAGACAGATTGGTTGTGTCATAATCAGGCTGCAGTTTCAGCAGGCATTCATTGCAGTGTTAGGTGCTGTCAGTCCAGAGGTTTTACTGCTATTCAACAAACTAGGAAGTTGCACAATTATTTGAATCAGTTATTAGATATCTGTGTAATCTGCTGTTCATGACCCCAAACAGAAATATTAATATCTAGGTAAATATTATAACAGTATGACTGAATTACATTGAAATACAGATACATAGGTCCCCTTATGTTTCACTTGTGGTATGTGTTCCTTAATTTCTAAACTCTGAAAGCCACAGTGGGTGCTATTGCTGCTCACATTCACAGACAGGCAGGAAAATGTGAAGCAACTTGCTTCAAGCCAGGAACAGTCCAGCCCTGGTGCTGCTGCCATGCAATCCTCTGCCTCATGTCATCAGACTTCACATTCTCATCATTAATGAGTGAAAAAAATGGCAACTGGTTTCTTCAGAGGAGTCTGCACACTAGATATTGACAGAGATTTTCAGTGGCATAGGGACACACTGGAAGATAAATCTTCCTTTGGAAGCACTGCTGGGCTCACGTGGATGCCTTTCAAAGCTCTCTTCATGGTGTTTCATTTAGTACAGGAATATTTGCCTTATTGCTCTCAGAACACCTGGCAGGGTGTGTGTGTCTGTGTGTGCTGTGTTTCAGGGCATAGTTTGATGGAATGAGATGCCTGTAAGAGCAGTCTCCACCAGCACCAGACTCCTTTCTCTCACACACTGACTGCCAGCCCGGAGCAGTCATGGTCTGCCTGTGCAGCAGGGGAAGTGCAGCTCCCTGAAATCAAAGGCTTTCACACCTTTCATCTCTGAGGGGATCTCACAGCTACCCTGGAAAGGAACTTCTGGCTGGATGAAGAAAGGACAAACCCTGCTGCAGGCAGCCCATGAGTCTGAACTCATCTATAAAGGAAATTTGGCTTATACCCTTGTAAAGGATGGCTTGAAGGGCAACACATCCTGTAATGCTGCAGTTGTGTAAGCAACAAATTAATGCAGAGGTATAAAACATCATTGTTCAGAGCTGTTCATCTCGAGGAAACAGCATCAAGCTGAGTCATAGGAGGTTTAGGTTGGATATGTCCTTTTCCTCTTCCCCCCTCTCTGTTCCTGCCATCAGCATATACAGAGCAGTGCAAAAAAAAAATAATCTAACATTGTATTTCATAAAAGCATTACACGTTGGTCAGGGATAAATCAAAGCATTGCTGAATGAAAGGGATGCTTTAAATCATTCTGTCCCAGAATCAGAACCATTGGTGGAAAAATGTATTTTTATAAATAGAATGAAATGGCTTATATGTATCTGGAAAAAATATACATTCCAAGCTCAAAAACATCAGGAAAATTGATGGTGAGGTGTTTTGAGAAAAGAAAATGTGAAAGACTCATTGTTTTCTGCAGAGAGACTTTCAAAAGAAACTCCTAAAAAAGTTCAGATATGTAAGTACAGGACTTGGAACAAGACCTGCAGACAAAAAGTCTTGTGAATTGCTTTCAGAAAGTTAGCAATTAGAACAGGTTGGATAACTGCTATTTCAGCTTGCTGTTAATTTTAAGACCCAAAACTGTTTTATTGGAAAAGGCAGAGATTTGCTGTGACTTGCTTGTAAAATACAAAATCTTAACACACGTGTAATGTTTTACATGAGCTATTGAAATACCTTGGATTGAAAAAATGAAATACAACAAGAAATTTTTTATAATTTTAATAATATTTTTTCTGAAAATAAGCTAACAGGGGTGATAGTGGCATAGGACTGCAGAGTAAGTTGAATCTGCATTTGCATCAAAACTGTCATAATCTGAAAATTTAGGCCATTTCTACTCTTAGCAGTGATTGGTGGTAGTACAGGGAAGTGAATGAGCAAGAAAGCACACATTACATCCTCCATGACTTTCTTTCACATAAGAAAATAAATATGTTTCAGAGTTATGAGACATTGTGGAAGCTACGTGGATTTGGGACTGAACAGTTCCCAGTCAGAGCAATCCATTAAGAACTGCTGAAAGCAGACCACCTACACACTTTTTCTGACAAAGAGGGAAAAAGAGAGTTTTTCAGTGCTGTAACAGTTCAAAAAAAGAGAATTAGAGGCAAAAAGGTCTATATGACTGCGGTAATTACAGAGATATTTTTTAAAACTGTTTTTCCTGAATTATACGTGATAAAATACATAAAGCATTGCATATACTTCTCATGGCCTCAGTGGATACCATGGTGCTGCTGCCAACCAGTCAGATAAAACTTTCTGGAGTGGAGCACAGACCGATAGAAAGCTACTAATGAATGTTAATGTTTCACCTCAGAAGCCTTTCCACAATATAGCAAATTAACTCAAGTTATGCCTGTGTCCAAAATTCTCCTCATAAAACAAAAAAGAAACAAAAAACTTCTTGAGAGATATTACTGTTCCCCTCAACAAGGGGAAGATGTAATCTAAAATTCTTAGCTACAGAAGGAGAATGTGAGGGATGATGTGTGGAAGAAAGAGGCCAAATTCTTCCAGTTAAAATATGCTGGCAGCTTTAGCAATGACTGGCAGACCTGATGAAACAGAGATATGTTGGATTTTAAGCCTGACAAGGATAGGCACAAATTGTAAACACCATCTGCAAGACATCCAAACCACAGGTATTGCAGAATACGGCCCTGGTTATGTACTGAAATACAATCCCTTGTTTAATTCTCATAAAAGTAGCCATTCTAAATTGTTTCTGAATGCAACAAATACAGCACAAGTAAACACAGCACCTGGTACTTCCCTGCATAAATGAAAAAACTTAGCATACAGCATGATTGTGGTATTTTCATGACACTGTTTCAGACAAAGAAAGTAGTGTAATTTGCAACTTGCTCAAAAAATAAACTGCAGGTTTGCCAAGACATGGTTACTCTTGCTAACAGTACAAATGATAGACAAGCTATTTTCTGTGAGGTCTTAGATTATGGTTTTTAAAATGAGTTTGATTTAATTTTATTTTTATAGTCATCAAATAAAGGGAATTTGATTCAGGTTGCAGGTAGGAGAAAATGTGATCTCAGCATGTCAGAAGTGCCTGCCAGGACAAGCTAGAAAGTGGATTTATCTAAGTGTTTGTACACTAACTAATTTCTTCCACCAAACTTTTTGACCTTCATCTCCCGAATTTATGCCATATGCTTGCTTGTGGTTTTGAGGTCTGTCACTACACTGATGACTTGGCAGGGTAATTAACAGCAGCAGTTCAGTACTGTGGTTCATTATTTCAGTCCTGGTTATGTGCCCTGGTTCACGTGTCACCTTATTCTGTCAAAATAAACAGGTCTTTGGCAATAGCTGTCTGCACTGTGTGGTGTGATGGATTATCCTCAGAGGGTGTTTTTCAACAGTTGGTCAATGATGTTATATCTTTAAGTATGCCTATAAGTTTAGAAGAAGATTCCACCAGTCTTGTGACATGTCAAGGACATGTCATGTTGACATGGCTGGGACAAGAAACCCTCCGAGGCTCGGTCACAATTAATCCTTTTTGAGCATTAGAAGGTTTTGTGTTTCCTTTGGGATACTCTTAGCTGTGTTTTGAGGTGTAGGCTTTCTGCTCAGTGTAGCTATTTGTATATAAATGCATCCCCATATGTTTTTCAGCCATAATGCTGGTATGTGCTGTTGATAGATCTTGGCAGCTGAGTATACAGGTCATAGAATATGTATGTGTCAGACCTATCTGAAGAAATAGCCCTTATGCAGGTGACAAAGACGTGGGTTTTGAATAAGAAAATTCAACCTACTAGTTAGAATTTTGCAAAATGGATGTATCTGCAACATGTAGCTACATATTTGTAATATACATGAGTATAGTGTGTGTATATATATATATATGGGTACATATGAGGCCATTAAAAGAAGTATTTTCAAAAATCAGGCCCTTGAAGCACTTGCAGAGCAGGATTATTTTCACTGCTATGTCTCTGTTTGAGCTGGTTGCCTTAAGCACCCTATATTTTCAATGGAGATTCAGCCAATGTGGACAGGAGTCTATGGGGTCTACCTCACCTTAAAAAAGTTACCTCAAACAGGCTGCATTGGTTTGGCACTAGAAATCTCTGTTTCTCTTAATTAACTAAAAAGGGAGCCTCCAGAGATGAGCTCAGTTGTGTCTAAAATTAGACCAGAGGAATCCCAGCCATATTGCTGACTTTGCTGCAGATTGCTGACTGAAATCTTCCATCCACAGTACAACTTTTAGGTCTAATTTTCTGCTATTGTGCCTCTTGATTAGTTACTTGCTCCTGTGTAAAATGAGGTTAACTTACTACTAATTTTAAGCAGAGCTTTTAACTTCTTGGGTTCCTTTTTTCTTTACTAAAAAAAATCCTGTTTGGTGTATTCAGGTCCTGTGTAAGGTGAAAGGCACTACAGAGCTGGGCTCTCATTTCAAACTTCAGCTGTGGAGTGAGTATTGAACATGCAATTAGCACTGATTCCTGACCAGTCTCTTCCTCTGCCAGTCCCGAGCCAACGGTGCTACATCGGCAACGGCACAGATTACAGAGGGACAGCCAAGACAACCATTTCTGGACACAGCTGCTTGCCTTGGAATTCAGACCTGCTTTACCAAGAGCTTCATGTTGACAGCATTGGGAAAGCAGTGCAGCTTGGCCTGGGGCCCTTCCCTTACTGCAGGTGAGGAAAGTTCTTGTTTGTCCTGCATCTGTACCTCAAGAGATGGAAGCGCCGTGGAAATGAGAAGGGCCAGGGATCTCAAAACAGGGGTTACCCCTCTCTGGGGAAAGCTAGACCGACCTCAGTAATCAGCCTGTCAAGAGTGATTGCACAGAAGACAAGATCTGGTAGATAGGCTCAATAAATACCTGGGTCTGCTGAGAGAAGCTCAGACACAAAATAATGTTGGAAATTCCTGGTGCTTTTCTTTCCCCCTGGGTAATGAGTTCTTGCCCAAATGAGACTGTAATGCAAAACTTTTGACATTGTTCCTTAATGTTTATCCAAAAGGAGAAATCAATACACTAGCTAAATTGAAATGGCTAAATTTAACTTTTTATTCTTTGCCTGTGAAAGACATACCATAAAGAAATATTTTCAAAAGAGAAAAGTTATTTGAAAATGAAAAATCAAAGCACTATATTTAAATAAGGTTGAAATGGGACATCAAATTTATTTTTTTTGATTTCTTACAAAGGAAAACTATTACCAAAGAAGATTTCCCAGTGTTTCAATTTTGATTGCACCACATAGTGATGAAATACATTTCTGCTGAAGTTTTCTGTTAAGCTATAATGAAAATAGCTTGTGCTATGTAGGTTTGTGCCTTCTCCTCAGTCACCTTATGTTCCCCCTGTTTCTGAGGTGTCCATGAGCTCAATGGATATCCACAAATGTTTTTATTTAGACAGAATATTTCTCATCTTGGAGATGAGCAAATGCTAAACCTGCCAAACTGTAGATGATTCTCCATAAATTACTGGTTGATGCCTTTTGTTTGTTTGCTTGACTGCTTGATTGAAGATTTTGTTTGTTTGCTTGATTGCTTATTTGTGTGTGTGTGTGTTTTTGTTTTTTTTTAACAGAACTTAGACCAGTAGTTCAGGACAATCAGAATGTACTACACCTCCTAATTTGTTTGGTGATAAAAAGCATGCATGCATGCTGAAAGTAGCCCTTCTCTATCTAACACAAACTAACAATAAACGATTCCTACCCCATCCTTTAAACCTTCCCACTTTGATTTCCAAGGCTTGCTCCTCATGCAAACACTTCAGTATTTGATTTATGGTGTCCCAGCACAGTGTGGCAATTGATCTGGCACATATTTTGTGTTTTGATGAAACTTGAGCCCTTTGATTTACATCATTTATGCCCAATATTCACTTTCAGATTTGAAATGCAGAGAACAAAATGGTGTAGGAGCTGATGTGTTCATGTTCTGTAGAGCTGAGAAAAAAGCTTTTCACTTTTTTGTCAGCTTGTTACAATTTCTGGGGATATCTCTGCTGTACTATATAATCCTGCAGATATCTTTCTTCAAATAGTCTAATTTAGAAACATTGTTGGCGGAAGATGACTCAACCTGTGTTGCTTCTTCAGTTCTGAGAATTTGAAAGTGCTCTAATCTTTTTCTGAAGAGCAGTCAGATTGAAAAAGAAAAAAATAATCGAAGAACCTTACAATAACAGATAGTGCTTGTGATAAATCCAACTGAAATTAGAAGTACTGCTTATCTGGAGCTCTGAACTACCTTGTCTGTTCTTCTTGGTCTAATAAAGCCTCCCTATATTCTTGGAGGTGTAAACTGGGAAGATTTCTGGTTACTTATAATGCACTGATAAAGACAGGCTGTACCACAGAAAAACCCTAATGGAATCAAACCAAAATGTATTTAACACCAAGGTAATAAAGGGCGAAACGGTTTCCATTACTCTTTTTTATCCCCAACCTTTTTGAGGAATACAATATTTTCTTGAAATAGTCTTTCATTTCCTCAGACTCTCCAGGGACTGTGAACCTGAGATTTGCAAATTCATTTTTGCTAGCTATTCTTGTAATGGATTTTCTATGATTCTACCTGTGTTGGAATCTCCTCGCCTAAAAAATAACCTAAAACAGGAATCTCTCCTATGGGATTTAGTTCTGAAAATAGCTGAGATGATACCTGTGAAAGCACTTCAGTGTGGGCTGTAGTTAAACGCTGTGAACGTGCTCATGCATCCAAATACTTGCAGGCAAGTTTTACAGGTGTTCAGTCATGACAGTATTTCAGGTCCTAGCTGACATTAGTCTTGGTTAGTTTTAAGATGAAGGATTATATTGAAAGGCTGCTCACCCTTGTAGGTGAGTACTTTGTCAGATGGCTCAAAATCTGAGAGCCCTGTCAGTGCTCTGCATGGTGCAAGAGCAAAAAGCAGAAAATCTTTGGGAAGCTTAGAACAACTCTGTGGTTAATGCTTGTAATTCCCTCTTCCCCTGAATTAACCAGAAATCCAGATGATGATGATAAGCCCTGGTGTTACATCATGAAGGACAACAGTTTGTCTTGGGCATATTGTGACATTCCAACTTGTGGTATGTAAAGGCTTTCTTAAAATCCATGTTATGAATGAATGAATGAAGATTTATTGATACTACAACAAGGTTTCACTGTGTAATTTTGAATGTTCTACTGTTCCCAGAAGTGTTGAATATTTTACTGTTTCCAGTAAACAACAGGCTTCTTTTGCATTTTTTGGAGTTGTGATACAATCTGTGATTCTTGTCCTGAAATAGCAGCAGTGTCATACTGCTGTTTTGGTCACAACCCAATATCCCCAAATTTTCTGCTAGAACATGAAAGGTGCCAGAAATGACTGATGTTTTGGTAAAAATTTTCATCATCCTGAGAATTACAGGCCCAGAAAAGGGAGTGGGCCTCTGTGAGCAATAAGAGGTCTACATCCTGAAGATGTATGAGACACGATGTTTAATTCCAAAACATAAAGATTCTGGTAGTCTGATGTCATATCCCTTTTACCTCAGCAAGCAGGGAAAGGAGGCCACTAGTTCCAGACAAAGTAGATAGCTCTGCAAGCACCAAAAGACCATGTGGAAGAAGACACAAAAAAAGAAGTTTTGTGAGACCTAGGATTGTTGGGGGATCTTCATCTCTGCCTGGATCTCACCCCTGGACAGCAGCTATATATATTGGAGAGAGTTTCTGTGGTGGAAGCCTGGTTCAGACCTGCTGGGTTGTGTCAGCAGCACACTGCTTTGCTAACAGGTAAGCTCACCCTTGGTGGGACAGTGGGTCCTCTCAACAAAGCTGAACTGAAATAAGAAAGATGAGATTGTTAAAGACCAGTGTGTCAAAAGGGATTTCTGGCAATTTGAATACTCTTAGTGATCTAAAAAATGGTTTGGACTACTATAATCTCATAAGCCCTTGTCCTGTTCCTTAAGGAGTCTCAAACAATCTAAACATGCTGACTAAAGGAATAAGGTTGGGTGAAGCATCATGTAGAATGGGGCATAGCATGTGCAAGAACCTGCAGGGGAACAGAAGTATTCCTCTTCTTCTTGGTTACCTTTCTGAATGTTTATGCCTGTTTTGAGATATAACAGAGATGACTATGCTCACTGCTGTGTTTTGTTCAGAAAGGCTGAGACAGCCAAGCAATGATTTATTGGAGATGATAAATTACCGTTGGTCGACACAAATAGAGTGGGCTGAGCTTTACAAAAAGCCACATGGAAGAACTAAACTGTCAAACTTCTGAAGCTGATTTTCTTGTGAGATTTTTTTTCTCCTGTGGGACACTAGAGAAAATATTAATTATAGGATGCTCTTACTTTATTCTAAGTACTTAATTTTCTACAAATGTTCAACGCTTTCCCTGATTTCAGTTTGATCACGTTGAAGGGAAAAATATTACATCATTTGATACCCATTGTTCCTTTGCATAGTAAAGAAGCCAAGAGAAACAGAAAACCTTTTGCCAGAATATAGACACTGATAGCTTGTAGAGCTAATAATACCACTGTGAATGCTGTACTGAAGCATTTGGAGCTCAAGCCACAATGCATTTGTTTTTCAAATGTTGTGAAATAGCTACTAACTTTGGCAGCTGTTCAGGACATTTCCACCCACTTCCAGCTGGTGGTTTGGTACGTACAGATTTTCCATAATTACTGCATTGTAATTTGTGCTCTTCTGTTTGTTTAGTACCTCTGGTAGTCACAATTCCAACTGTTTTCCACTAGGCGACAATAGATACCTGTGCAGCTCAATTATTTGTTTTTTCTTTTCTGTAATCCCTCCTGTTTTATTTCTTTTCTTGAATGAACCATCTGTAAGTCCTAGTAGAACCATTCAGTGCTTCTGAAATTATTCTATATACTGTTCCAGAAAGTGAACTTGCACTGTTTTACAGGCCCAAAATTTGATTTTCAAGGAGGTTGATTTACTACTGCAAAAATACTGAGAAAACCATGGCCTTACATATTGATTGAAGAACATTTTATTGTCTTCTTGTATTTTGGTAGTACAGAATACACTTTGTCCTTTCCTTTGTTAACCTTAAGCACAGTTCTTGCAGCAGGGTTGTTGCTGTCTCTCTGCATTGCAATTGCCCAGAATCACTTTTCTCTGAGTCCATGGCTGCTGGTCATTGCTGTGCACTCAGTACAGTAGTTCTGGGCGAGGTTCTTTGGTGCTTTCATACCTGATGGGCACAGAAATGGAACCAGGGGAGCTGCAATCATGCAAACCACTCTGTGTCTGTGCATGATGTGTGACACCAGATATTTCCTTCTCCTGCACTGGGTAACAAAACACAGGAGTGCTCCAATGTTGAAGAAACTTGTTAACTAAACTCATTGTAGACTTATGCAGTTTGAATTGGTTTTAGAACAAGAGTGAAATATGAATTCTGTTGCTTTCAAAGCTAGAGAATATATTGCCTCTCCTAAACACTTCCTGATGATTCCCAAATGTCCCTTATTTCCCAGTTGCTGTACTTGTTCTTATTAGTTTTCTTTCCTAGGACACTGGATATTAGAGGACTGTGGTCTTAGAGTGAAAAACTGATAGCTGGAAAAGATGGTGTGAATTGCAAATACTGTGTTCTCCTCTGGCTGTGAAGTTTCCTATTAAATCCATGTGCTTTTGGGACTTCACCAGGCTGCTTTTGATTCTGGACAACAGATTTAACATACATAAGCAAATCTGAGAACTGGTGGTATCTTTTTGGTGGAAGCTTCCCAGATGCTCCTGAATTGTCAATGTGCCAGCACCTTTAAATCTTGGCCCATGCCTGTAATTTTTTTCAGGAGACTGTTTTCCCAGAGAAACAAGACATCCACCACTGATTCATCTTTTGATCCCTCCTTTCTTTCTGAGCAGTTTTGGTAATCATTGGCAAAGCTGAGTTTAAGTTGACTCAGTTAAGCTTCTAGAAGAGGTGTTTACATCCCTCAAAGATGTTTGTTAGCCAAGCAGCAGCTGGGCAGCAGTGCCTGCGCTGGCCCTTTCCTTCTTTCAAGAAGCAGTAGTCTTTAATTAGGCTAACCAGGACCCACAGAGCCTGGGTCTCACTGTAACATATTTTTCCTTGCCCACTGTACGAAGGAAGCCTGTGAAACAGGTAAAGGCATGAGAGGGTAAACAATGGACATGGTGGGAAGCTGAGGTTATAATGGTTCATAGGATACCCAGCCACTGGTAAATCAGCTGCATTTGTCCTGCTAATCACAGAACTGCTTGTCTCTTTTGCATTACAGTCCACTAAAATCCACCATTCGAGTAGTTCTGGGTCAACAAATATTTAATAAAACAACTGATGTAACACAGACATTTGAAATAGAGAAATACATCTTGCATCCTCAGTATTCCGTGTTCAATCCTACTGAACATGATATTGGTGAGTATTTTTCTTCAGACAGTTTTATTTTCCATTTACTCCAGCTAGTTTCAAGTTCAGATGGTCTGTTAATAACTGCCTTTAGAGTGGAAAAATCATAGATACTAGGAGAGGCTTTTGAATGCAGAGGGTTCTTAGTTCTACAAGAGTTATAACAGCATCTGAAGGCTAGACAAATTCAGATGAAAAATAAATTGCAAATTTTAAATAATTATGATAATTAGCCTTTGGAGCAATTTATCTAGATGTGTGGAAGATTCATGATCACTTCAAGTCTTTGTGAGATTAGGCATTTTTTCAACTGAACCAGAAGCTGTAGGCTTGATGCAGGAATTACTTGGTAAAATTCTATTGTCTGTATTGTATAAAGGATCTGACTAGATGAATGTAATAACTCCATCTGCTCTGAAACCTGTGGTACTAAGAATCATTTTTTACACTGAGATAGATTTAAAAATCAGCTGTCTTATCAGTCAGAAGTTAAATGCCCTTCTGATTGACCTTATAATGCTAGTCAGAATGACAATGGAGCAGCAACTTCTTATTTTCTGATCTGCTCTTGTAAAAGTCACATCACCCCAGGGCACCAAGCTGTGTGAGCACTTTGTCTGTGAGATTATTTAATATCCTGACATTGGGAATATTTTAGGTCAGGCATGTACTGGCTTTTTTTTTGGCTCACAGATGGTGAGTATTTTCTACTCTATAGCAAAAAGCATTCAAGTTCTGTGTTGGTGGGAGCTCTGTCACAGCCTACAAGGAGACAAATGGGATTTGAGACATTACTCTGCTCTGAAATCTCCTCGTGAAAACCACCCATGATGCTTTGAGATTTCATAGCTTTTTTAATTACTCTGAAATTAGGTAGACATGTCTCACCAGCGTGCTATGACCAAATCTAGGGAGAGCTGAACATGGAGTACCTAAGACAAGCCCAACTGCAAAAATAAATGAGAAAGCAGAAACTATTGTGGGGGGAAGATGCAGGTGCTTGTTCTGTCCAGTCAGTGATTTTTACTGATGCAGAAGAGTTTTGTCCTGCTGAAAATACTTTTCTAAAGGAAACAACTATCATATGAGTGTTTGCTAGGAAATTTGAGGGATTCAGAAGCAGACAGAGTTAGTGGGGAAGAGGAGCAAGGTGAGGAAGTGTGGGAGCAAGGTTTGTGTGGCCTTCTCAGACTGTGAAATACTGCTTCTGTGTTCCACTAAGGCCAAAAACTGTAGCTGGTAGAGAAATAAGACTATTCAGTGAGGTCACTTGCTTTCCACACAGCTGTGCTCACCAAATTTTGAGCTTCCAAAAGGCCTGATGAGAAGGTTTAATAGTGTGTCCACATTACCTCAGCTCTGTTCTCTTTGAGTGGTGTGGCCAAACCAACATGCTGCCCTTGCTCCATCCAGTACAAAGCCCCCTTTGCTGCTTTGTAGCCAACTGAAAGAGATTTTCTACAGGGGAACCAATTTTTGAAATATTTCAGTGTCAATCTCATGATGCTGCATAGCCATGTATTTACACTTTTTTCAACCCCATGACTGGTTAGTAAAGATTGTGTAGGTTATGTAATATTTTGTAGCTTCAAGAAGCTTGGTTTTGAAATGTCCCAAGGTTTTATTCCTTAATTTTAAAGATCTTGAATTTTGCTGAACTCAGTGATAACAGGACACAAAACATACCAGCTCTTGGAGTAATTAATTTTTTAAATGGAATTGGAATTAGGCCAGTGGCCAGGCTTTCAGAAGCAGTGAGTATTTGCACATCCCACTTATTTCAGCTGAAAGTTGGGGATATGTCACTGTTATTTAACTATAAGGTGGGAGGAGACACATGTATTTTCTATCTTTCCCCTTCTCTACAGAGGCAGTGAAGCAAAATCTGCTCAGTGAGCATAGCATAAAATAAATATTCCCACAAGGGGAGTAGCTGAATGTTTCAGCCTTCAATTTGCTGTGAAATCAGGTGCTGTTGAGATGAGTCTGTCTGTCTTTGATTGAAATATCTTAATTAAGAGAGTCTTAGGGGATAATTAAATTTGTATCTGAGACCCATTACTGCCAATCCCATTAAAGAAAGGGAACAGTCACTTTCTTCCTCCTGCATTTTCTGTTCTGCAGCTTTGATTAAGCTGAAGAAGAACGGCCAACGTTGTGCTGTCAAGTCCCAGTTTGTTCAGCCCATCTGCCTGCCAGAAAGTAACACTGTTTTCCCTGACCAGTTGAAATGTCAGATTTCTGGATGGGGACACAAGCATGAGAGTGAGTAAAATGAGAGCTGGTGTTTGTAGAAAAAAAATGGTGATAATAAAAACATAATGCTCAGGTATACTTCATACAACTGAGAGTTTGATAAAATGTTTTGCAAGGGACTTCTGGGTGGGATTCTTTTCACCTGCCTTTGGAGTTTACAACATTTACATCTGAAATAGTCATCCTGAACTTCATTTATAGGCCTTGGAATTTGGAGTGTGGTTCCTTTGACCAAATGCTTGCACCAATTTCAGGATGGAAGGAGCTATGAGCTAGCTAGATCTCAGTCCACTGGGAGGGGAGAAAGTAGCTCATTGGAGTGCCAACACCTGGAATTCTAGTAAAGTGAATCCTTCACCTGATTTCTCCAGACAGAGATTTTTAACTTCACCATCAAGAAACTTGGAAAATATTGCTAGGAGAAGGCCAGGTAGACCTTGGGCTAAGACGTGCTTACACCCAGCTTGAGAAAGGTGTCAAAAATCATCCCATCCTTTTAGAGGAGGAATTTCAGGATTATGAGGCTGGACCATGCTGCATCCATGTTGAGATAGCAAAGACCAATGCAGGTAGATGAGGAGGATTGAGGAGCTGGCTGCCACATTGTGGTGACAGATGAAGTATGAGCAAATATCCCAGTCTAAATGTGTAGTCTAAAGACAAAAAGAAGTAACAGAGCCTTTGAAAAATGGATAATTTATTATCACATCTGGAAAGAGGTGAGGACAGGAGTGCTGGGGCACTGTTGCTGATTCTTTAGAAAATGAGAGAAGCTAAAATGGATTAATGGCTGGACATTGCAATACTGTTATGGAGTCCGACTGGAGGATCAGAAAGTGATCACTATAAAAATTATTTTATTTTAAAGGTGTCCACAACATAAATACTACTGATAAGTGTTAAATGTGTTTATTATGTGTTAAATGTGTAAATGTGTTGTATTGTGCCTTTGTGGTTTCCTGTTATGCTCTTGACATTCTATAAAAATGACTTTCTTTTCCTTTCTGGGAATTTTTAAAGATATATCTGGTTATTCAGATGTCCTGCAAGAAACACTGGTTCCACTTATTCCAGAGGAGAAGTGCAGAAGTCCTGAAATTTATGGAACAGAACTCACAGAAAATATGTTCTGTGCTGGCTACTTTGATAGCAAATCAGATGCTTGTCAGGTAATGCTGGGTCATCTCTAGGCAGGTGATAGAAATGTATTTTGGTCAGAAATGTTGCAGTGTTACAATTCTTACTTTTGATTTTATAGTGTTCCTAAAGAAAAGAACCTTATGTGACTACTTCCACCTTAATTTTTTTATCATGTTCAATGTCAATTAAGCTCTACAGAAGGGCTCCAGTGGCTGTGCACTGGAGGGTGTGTTGCTCTAGTCCTGGCTGAGTCTGCAGGTGGTGGCAATGGATTTCTGCCCAGCTGGCAGGGATGTGCCAGCAGGAAAACCAGCATGAACCTGAGTGGGGACAAATCCCAGAACTGCTGCCTCTTGACTGAGGGAAAATGAGGACACCTGGGTAGGAGGTGAGGAGCAGCCATGAGGCTTGGAGGAAGGAGCTGAGGTTTCTATAGTGGATGTGACTGAATGGTGTAGAATGTCAGTCAGTTGGAAACTGTGTTATGTAACCTCAGTCTTTCATGGAATGACCTCATGCTCTTACTACTTTCAGTTATGTCACACCTCGGCTCTGAATAAGGATGCAGAATTGTTGTGGTGATAGATGAGACTTCTTAAAATGAAGGATCAGATTATTCCTTACATAAAACTTCAGATTTCATCTACAGCTCATTTTGAAGGAGGAGGGTTCTGCTCTATTAACATAAATTCGTGAAAAGGCAGCACATAGCTAATAGCTGGCAGTGTAAGTGCAGGAAAGAGTGTCATGTGTACTGTGTGCTGGAAGCCCCATAGAGGTCATAAACATATCCAAAGAAAGGTGGCAAGAGTGAAATGGCAGCAGCCAGCAGTGGCTCAAGGCCAGGGCTGAGACTCAGGCTGCAAGGGGTCACACGAGCCAGAGAAATGGAAACCACCCTGCCTGCCCAGCTCCCCTTGCCTTTCCCAGGAAGTGCAAATACAAGAGACAGCATCACAGCTGATTCTCTCTCCCTGCCCTGGGAAAACAGAAATCAGGAATGAGAAGGAGAAAAGAAAGTGGAGGGAAGGAGAAAGGAGTTGCACAAAGACAAGTGATCTGGAGAGAATGTCAAAGTCAGAAAATCAGTGATTTTGAATCGACAGATGTTGCTGAAGAACAGAGCTCATGACATGAAATCATTATTAGCGAACCAACAATTCATTTTTTCCTATTGTCAGACTTGTAGTGGGGTCTGAGGAGAAATAATGTAGACCTCTTAATGTAACAACAGATGTAGCTGACCTCTGGGTTTTCTTAATGTACACTTAGGATATTAACCTGTAAAACATCTGTTATGTATAAAAATATTCCAAGACCAAGAAACTTCAAACAGACAATGTGTTTCCCTTGATTATTTTTAAAATATTTTCTTGGAAACTTTTGTCATTTAATCTGTGCACTGATGCCAAAACTGCAATCAATTAGACTAATTGTGAAAAATATGCAGACAAGCAAGACTTCATCTGATGTCCCTCACTTATCACAGAAATCTTCAGTATAAAGGCAACACAATTTCCTATGTATTTTGGTCTCAAAGAATTTTTTTTCAGATAGGAAAAAATATATTTCTCCTTGGTCTCAAACAATTAGAGTGATAGCTGATTTCACCAGTACCATTTACTAAATCACATTTTTAATTTCTAACATTTTAATTCTCCAGAAAGTCAATCTAAGAGTAACATTAATAATAATAAAAAACCCTGTCCTGAATGTTTTCAAGGTTTAAATTAAGTAGAAATGTTCAAAATTAACCCTTGCTGTAGTGTAGTTTTGGCTGCTTTTTGATTTGTGGTTTAATGACAAGACAAACACTCAGTCGCAAATTCAAACACATGGAAAACCGCATATGCCACATAAAATTACAGTATCCCACAATCACAAAGTGTGGCTGTATGCAACAACTTTCTTTGAAAACTCTCACGTTCTCTGAAAATTGCAATAAACTGCATCAAGTAACTCTTCAAATGCGCCCATGTAACCCCCCAATGCAGTGCCGATATTACAACACAGTGCCAAACCCCAAAGGCTTGTTCACTTCCATTGAAAATGATCTACATCAACCATGCTTTTCAGTAGGTATCTGAATCTAAAAATGTCATATTTTTAAACAAAATCTGATATTTTGAAATCCACCATTATATTTGATTGCTACTAAAAATGTTTTCTGTAATGAAACTTCAGTAAACTGCTTTTTTTAAATTTTTTTTTTTTTTTTTTTTTTTTTTTTTTTTTTTTTTTTTTTTTAGTTTAAATCTCATATGCAAACATTCCTATTTTAGGATTTTCCCTTACTGATCTTCTGACTGCTTTCTATCAAATCAGATGACCTTTGCTTATTTTTGATGCAGGGAGATTCTGGTGGACCTCTGGCTTGTGAAGAAAATGACATCTCTTACCTCTATGGAATTATCAGCTGGGGAGATGGCTGCGGCAGAGTCAACAAACCTGGAGTATACACAAGAGTGACAAACTATGTAAAGTGGATTAATGAGAAAATAGCCCCTCGAAAAACTAGTTGAATAGTTAAATACATTAACATTTGAAGCAGGGTTCAGGAGTCTTTTGGTTTTATTAAAGTGGCATATATATTTTAATATAAACTGGTATGAAAAGTCTCATGGTAATTCTTAGCAGTTCCAAGCCAGACCACCAAAAGCAGGCCTGCTCCATCTGATGTCAGCAGTCTTGATCTATCATTCAAAGGCTGTGGATTGCTCAACACACATGACTGCCTTTATTTGTATTAATAAAAAATCTCAAACATATCGAGACAGTGCACAAAAATCTGCAACTCTCTGTCTGCTTGGTGGATTACTTAAAAAGGGATTTGATGTGTTTTGCAGCTTCTGGTGGAGCTGTCATCCCCCAAACCAACCTGCAACAATATTGTCCTTGTATGCTCAGTTGAAATGAAGAAATAAACAGGAGAATCAAAAATGAAATTCCCTCTCCCTGAGAAATGATCTCCTGAAGCTCAGGGCAAGAGACACCAAGAGAACAACGTAGGTGAAGCTGCTCCTCAGCTAACTGCAACAACGGGTCTGGGGAAAGAAACCAGAGGGTTTAGGTTTTCTCTCAACCAAATACGTAAGCATATTTTTATATAAACATATTTCTGTGTTCCACTGACGTAAAATCAGGAACGTGCCTCAGAGCTCTGCTGAATCTGGTGTGCAATTTTCCAGCAAGGTTAATGCAGCACCTCCTGAGAGCTCAAAGCCTTTTCCTGAGAAATGCTGGAAGTTAGAGCAGCTGATTTAGGTTGATACAGCCAGGACCTTTTGCAGACTGCGATCTGCTCCTTGCCCTAAGGATAGCAATGGAAATACTTCACCTTGATGATAAATCCCTAAACGTTTCTTTAATTTGACAGTGTTTTGAAGATGTCTTAGGTTTTGTACTAACAAGTTGTTCAACTATTTAGATAATTCAGAAAGGAGGTTTCTTGTAACAGATTTTTCAACTGGATGGCTGTGGTGCAGCTTGACATTTTCCTTAGGGATTTAGTGATATCATAAACCACAGGCTTTATTGTCATGGCCTATGGAATTGTTATGGGACCAACCAAAGCAATTATTAGAATATACAGCTGTTTAGAGGCAGTGGACTCAGCTGTATTAGCAAAAACAGGCAGAAAATGATTCAACAGAAAAAGTCTGACAAAGAATGGAAAATTGTTTTTTTTTTTTCCTTTAGCCATGTCAGATTTGTACATTTAGGTGTTGTGAAATGTATTTCTCCCCCGGCAGTGAACATTTATGGACTCTCTTAAGTTTTTCAAGCAAAGTTGTTTTTTAAAGTAATAGAATTTTAAAGCAATGCCTAGATATTCAGAGGTGTTTTTTGTTTGCAGTGTCCTCATGGGTTTCTTAGTAGTGGTGAATGTTATGTGCAGTTAAAAGAGATTTTTTTAAGGAAAAATAACCAAAACCTGCATCTGTGTAAGTACAAATATACAACAATGCTAATCTAGATAAATGATGTAAACTGTCGAATAAAAACATTTACCCTCTGTTTCTTGAACTTAGTCTGTTATGTATAAAGTTACAGTAAGATCTTTGAATCCCTCTGTAGGCTGTTCTAGAGGTTGAGAGCTGGTAGAAAGATGAAATAACACTGTGCTGGAAGGCACTGGAAAATCTCTCCAGTAAGGGTCAATTTCAGCTGGTGCTGCTCCCACTTTAATGCAAGTGTCATGCACATTTCCAGTAGGCAGATGTAAGCACCTGGATATGTTTTTCAGCTATTGATACTGGGAGTCTCAGGATTAAAGCCTTTAGTTGTTTTTTCTGAGGCACTAAACACTAGCTTGAAAAACTGAGATCCACCTCTGGGATCTTGATTTCAAACCAAGCTGAAGACTTGTGTGGCTCTGCCTCCCTGGCCATCTGCAGTATGAGTCTGGCTTGCTTAATGCCCTCAAATGAACATGACAATGTGACAGGACTAACTGTACCTGCTGCTGAGACAAGTACTGCATCAGCAGGAAGGAACTATTTGCACTTCTTTGGAAGGGATTCATCAGGAACAGGCTTCCACTCAAAGACGAAGCCATTCTGAATGTCTGTATCTGTTCTGTGACTTCAGTTTCACTTTGAAATTAATATCTATCCACACTGTGCACAGTTTTGATCCTGCAGTTTCGTGTTGTATATGCTCTCTTGGTCTTCTCTTGCAGTACAGAAGGTGGCTGTTTGATAGAAAAGGTGTTAGACTGGTGTTTCTGACAATTTGTGTGGAGTTTTTTTAGCTGTCCTGTTTTTAAAATCTATGCTGCTTGTATCGGTACACAGCAACACCAGCACAAATAACACACTCTGAAAAAATATATTGAATTGTCTGTTTTCTGCCCTCAAAGGTCTAAATGACAGATCTCCAGCTGATACTAATTTGAATACTTTGAATGCATTAAAATCAATTTGTGGCTTTCAAAGCAGCCTGTTTATCCACTGTGACTGCGTTGGCTTGGCGGAACTAAAGAGAAATCATTTGATCCTCAGCTGTGAGGTGACTAGCACAGTGTTACAAGCACAGAGTAGGGGTGGCAAGGAGATGTCCAGGTTATGAGATGTCCTGACTTCTCACACCCTGACATCAGTCACATTCCTTTGGGGCACTCCAGCATCTGCCTCCTGCCTTTCTGTTGAGCATTACCCCATGGAAACGAATTCTCCATATTTTTCACCCCATTTAAGTGATTATTGCCTTGATTAAAATGAAAACCAAACTCAAATGTATTAGTGAAATTTTATCTGATATTTTTCCTATCTCTATATTGAAATTGAATTAGAATGCAAAGTCAGTAGAACAAGCACTTCCCTAATTCATTATGAAACACACTTAAAAGATGGTTTTATTAAATTGTATGTTATTCCATGCAAACTGACCGATTTAAAAGGAAGAAATAAATGCAAACATCTAAAAAAACCCCTTCTATTATGCTACTGAAAGAAAAATGTGCTGTAGTGCTATTTAAAAAAAGCTGAAGAACTAATTACCATCAAATAAGATGCAGCAGGAGTATTTTTGGAATAATGGACTCTAATTAGTCCATTGCTTGTGGAAATAAATCTGAGGACATCATTAACACATCTTATTCTATTAATTGTAGCTGTTTCTGGTTTGGTGTAATCGGGTTGTTATCTCATGACAGTTGCATTGCAAAGAGGAAAAAAAAGTGAGAAGGGTATTTTTATCTGGGGTAGTTGGCAGTGTCTTCTGGGAGCCAAGGAGAGCTGTAATTATACTTCTGAAGAGTGAGAATTGGGCATTGTAAGGAAGGTGCGGGAAGGGGGCGTTTTGGCCGGCCAGAGGCGGATCCCGCTCCACGAAGCGAATCCGGTGCGGGCTTTGCGGCCGCCCGGGCGCGGGGCAGCCCCTGCGGGCAGCGGCAAAGCCCGGAGCCGGATCGGGGCGGGGGTCGCGCCCGGAGCGGATCCGCGGCGCTCCGGGTGCCCCAGGCTCTGAAACCCTGAGGAAAAAAAAAAAATTAAAAAAAATAAAATCCAAGATTCCCCCACAACACAGAAGTAAAACACGTGAACAAAGACTGCTTGGGACGGTCCGCCGACCCCTTTCCCAGGCGGCAGGTCGGGGGCCGGGCAGGGCCGCGCTGGCCGCCCGCCCGCGCGGGGCCCTAATAAAGCTATTTTGGAATTGACCCCTCGGGCGGCCGGAGCGCGGGGCGGGCGCAGCGAGCCGGCGCAGCTGTCCGGAATCATGACTGAAGATGACGGATTCCGTGGTGGTGGAGGGTCACGTCAAGTTGAGAGACGGAAAAAAGGTCCCCGCTCCTGGCGCCCCTTCGGCCCGCGGGGGTCCCCGACCGCCGCCCCTTGTCCCGAGGGGAGAGAGCCCGCTCTCCCCTGCGCGGCCCCGGCTAACCCTGTCCCTTTGCCTCTCGTTGCAGTGGAAGAGCAGGTGGCTGGTGCTGCGCAAGCCCTCCCCGGTGGCAGGTAAGAGGGGCCCGGCGGTGGGGACGGAGCTCGGGGCCCCGTAGCTTGCCCGGCTCCCCGGGGCCAGTGCCCGCAGAGCCCTCGGCGGGGCCGTCGCTGAGCGGCGCTGCCCGGGAGCCGCGTCCGGCCTGGGGGCGAGCTCCTGCGCTCACCAAAAACAACGGGAAAAGTGACTTTCCGAGGCACCGGGATTGCATTTGGTGCCGGTTCAAAATGCACTTTTTTTTTCTATTTTTTTTTTAATTTTTTAAATTTTAAAAAATTTTTTTAGTTTTCTGTGGGTGAACTTATTTCTTCAGGGTGAGGAATGGCTGAAAAAAAAAAAAAAAAAAAAAACCCAAAAAAACCCAAAACAAAAAAAAAAAAAAAACCCAACCAAACAGAAAAAAAAAAACCCACCAAAAAAACCCCTGACATTGCAAGCTTGGTAGTTATTTTTAATCAGTGTTTTGACAGAAAATATCACTTCAATTTAAAAATAAAATGACATTTTGAATTAAGGAAGAAGAAAAAAACAATAATCGTTTCCATGCTTCAGAAGGGGAAATTGAAAACGTTACACAGAGCTGATGTGTTACTGCTGCAGAGGGAAAAGTAGGCTTCAGGTTTCCCCATCTGTTCCCAAGAGGGAAAACATTTGGGCCCAAAAGTATATCTTTCCCGGGCTAAATGTTTCCCACACTTGGAAAACGTGAATCTGCACTGCTGCAGGATGAATTTTGGCAGCCTTTCATGGCTCTTGCTAGAAAGACTGAAGGCTTCTGAGTAATTCTTTGTTACTTGAGTTGTTACAGTAATATTTTAGTGTTTTAAGTACCTTTATCTCATCTAAATCTGTGAAACCTCCATGTGTGAAAGGGCATCTGTTGGTCTTAGAGCTAGTACATAGACCTGTGAACATGGGCCTGAGTTTCTATTGTGAGTAAGCCAGCTTTGAAGGCTGTAGATGGTGGAGCCTGACTGATAATGTAGTTTATTCCTCAAAAATACTAATTTTATTCTAGCTAATCTAGCCAGGTTTACTAAAAAAGCCCCTGTGATTTGGTTTTCTCAGTATGTAAACCATAGCCGTTCTTCAGACACACAACTGTATTACAGAATGTTTAAATACCATGGTTGCAGCTGTTTTTGCCAACAGGTGCACAAAGACAATTGGGAATCCATGCAAAGCTCTACATTAGTTAGCAGACAATTCAGTCTTTCAGTCATTTTTCATCTCTGTGGATGGAGATTTTGTCAGTCCCTTACCCAGCTGAGAGTTGCAGGGCACCTTAGTGGGGCTGGGAGCACCACCCCCAGTATTTATAAAATAGTGCGTGGGGGTCTTTGTCTTTTGTGGTTTGTAGCTCAGCTGAAGCTGTGCATGTTGCAGCTTTGATATTGACCATTAATTTCATCTGCATCTGAGTGCTGTGTGATAGGAAATGAATGTGGGGGAAAGAGGGTTGCTTTTGTCATAAATTCAAAAGGTGGGAGAGGTAGCTGCCCTTTCCTTTTGGGTTTGCTTGTGAAATGCTTGCTTTCCCCATGGGGCTGTGGCACTTGAACGAGTTTCTGCCATTGCACAGTTACTGTGTAATAAACACCTCTGGGAAGTGGTCAGTAACAACTGGTGACACAAGCGAACACTAAAACATAAATAAATAAAAGAAGGTGTGGCACATAATGATTTTTAGCAATGGCTGCTGTGTAGCATTTAACCGGGAAACCTGAGCCGACAGGAGCGATCTCGCAGCGCAGTCTGCTTGCCATTTAGTGGCTGGGTAATCTGTGAGCTACTGTAAGAATTTCATTTGTGGTTCAGTATGTTCTAATGAAAATACAGACAACAATAGCCTCTCGGACTTTAGAGTCTGTAATGTGAACAGCTATCCTAGCATAGCTCCTAATGCTCTGAATTAATGAGTCAGTCCCCACCGGACTCAGGAGAGGATCTGAAATGCCGCTGGACTTCGAATAAAATAGGGAAGATTTATTGTTGACCTCCTTATTTTTGAGCCTGCAGTTTAACCCTTAGAACATGCCTTCAGTGTTTGCTTCCTGAAAACAAGGACTATAAACTACCAGGGGGTGGGCTGGGAAAAGAAATCAGAGTTTTACATTGATTTGATTGAGCTGGTCCTGCAGTTGTCTAAAGCTCCTTTGTATTGCAGCAGAGTGCTGAGAATTTTGTTATGGTCTGTGCTCTGCATCATCATCTCTGACAGTTTTGCTCCTTTTAGACTGTTTGCTCATGCTGGTGTACAAGGATAAATCTGAACGAGCAAAAGGGCATAAGGAGAGGAGCAGCATGACCTTAGAAGACATCTGTGGCTTGGATCCTGGGCTCTCCTATGAGGGCCTGAATCACACGCTCGCAATCATCTGTCTGTCCCAAGTTGTGATGCTGGGATTTGAGAACAAGGAAACCATGTACGCGTGGGATGTGCGAATCCGCTACAGTTTGGGGGAAGGTAACCTTTTGTCTTCTCGCACTGTTTTTTTCTGTTGGTTTTTTTTTTTTTTTTTTCCTCCCACAGGATAAAAACCCAAAGAATAGTGAAGCTAAAATGCAAATAAAACAGTACAGTTCAGGACAGGATTGCCACTCACTTGAGAGTGGACAAACTGTTTTCCCCCTTAGATGTTAAAGCAGGTATCCCTTCCAATAGGTTTTGACTACAGTATCACCCAGTACTGATGGATAACTATGACGGCTCTTAACTTGGGGTTTTGATTTGGACACTGATGGTGTGTAGCTTTGAAACAAAGTGATCAGACTTCTGTTTCTGGTCCTACAACTGACTCAGGGATTCTAGCCAAAGGACTCAGGGGGAGGCTGAATTGAGAGATGCAAAGTCCTGAGTAGAACTTTGCCAGGTCATGCCCAGTTTGCTGAGCTGCCTACTGGGTGTTGCATTGATAATTCTCATTGCTGCTAGTGTGCCATTTCAGAAACAGACTTTTTGCACTAAGGCGTGTCATCAGACGCCTTCTTTCCAGCTAACTTCACCTTTCTCTTTCCTCCTATTATATTTTCTTGGTTAGCAGCTCTAAAATGTACTGTGGTGAACAAAGAGTGATAATGTTGGTAATCCATAGTATCTGTCTTATGTTTGTTTAGTCATAACTAGGAAGGAGGGTAGGTGTGTGGGAGACACACATTAGCAATCTTTATCATTTGTTACATATGCTCTGCCATCTGTTGGGTTTGTGGGCTCGTTCCTTTGCAGTACATATGTAGAAAGATGGCCTGGGAATTTACAGTAAAAATATGTAGAACTATAAGAAGTGAGATGTGTGGATGTACCTCTCAGGGCTATCAAATATGAAGCCTTGCATAACAGGAAAGGTTAGAGGGGTTGCTGAACCCAGCTGGAGTGGTTGTGCACATTGATGATACAGTTCTATAGTCTTCCAGTGCTGTTTTGCTGGGTTTTTTGTTTTGTTTTGTTTTTCTTTTTAACTCAGTTTAAAATCTATATATAGCATAGACTTGTCCTAAAAGCTGAAGGAGTACTTGAATATTACAGAGTGGGTCTGTTTTTTATGATCTTGCACTGATGTAGTGCTGGAGAAATCTCAGTCTGGGTGTGAGGGTTATGGTTGGGATTGGAGGACATGGAAGAGCAGCAAAGAGTTTTTTTCAAGGAAAGCTGTGAATGAGGTAGGAATAGAGCCTACTGGATTATGACATGTGCAACCATGGAGTAATGGTGAAGTGGGAGTGTGCTTGTGGAAGTGAAGAAATGCAGAAGTAAGAAAACAAGTGTAATTGGTTGAACTGGCAATAAATTTGTATAAAGTTAATTGCAAAAAATCTTACAGGGGGAGAATAAAGCAAAGCACTGAAATTTTTTTCAGAGTTTTGTCTTTCAATGCATGTTCAATTTGGAGAACAAAGTCAAAGGGAGTCTAGTTTGAGTATAGAGGAATAGAAAAGAGAGAAGATGTAGATGAAGAGAGGATGGTGACTGGTATTTTTTCTTAAAGTGTAGTAAGGGTGCCTTTGTGTGCCTTGAAAATAAGGTGGCTGGATGATAAAAATAGGCTAGGGAGGGATGACCTCAGAGTCTGGGAAGCAAAAAAAAAAAAGTGAAAGGAGCTGACACTGTTCTTGAATGAGGACTGCAGAATGGAGGTGTTCATACTGGAGTTCCCAGTGTTTTCTCTCAGTTTTTAGCAGATGAGGTGGATGTGATTCCTGGAATGTGCTTGGGCTCACAACTCATTTTGAGAAGTTAGCGTACTGCAGGTCATTGTATAGCTGTGAAGAATAAGAGATGGGATGAAGAAAGTGGTGGATTGAAGTAGTATTTTTGTTCAGAGATATACTCAGCTCTGTGTCTTCACAATTTTTTTTTAATAGAGTAAGAGAAGTCAAAGGCTGGGGAGAATTTTGGAAAAAATTCCAATTTAGCAAGAAAGCAGTGTATGAAAAAAGTTTTATTTTCAAAAATGCTTTTCCTTTTACTTAGGCTTCATTCATATTTGGGTATGCTGTATTTTAACAGTGGTCTAGAACTTGTGCTGGAGCTCTTTGTTTTCAGCAGCTGTTGTAACTTGCAACTGATTGCGTGAAGAGTGGGCTTCATTCCACTATTATGAAGGAGAAAGAATCCTGATGCTGCTTCTCCCATGGTTCAATTGCCAGCAAAATACTGGGCAGAGTTAACTGGGCAGAGGAGTACAAATGGCATTAAAGATTGCTTTCTGAGCATTATTGATCATGATGGTTTTACTGTCTTTTTGATAGCTGATGTTTAAGCAGGTTGCGTAACAACTTCGTGCCCAAAAGGGGACATGGTGTGACTATTGATTTGCTCCCTAGCAGTGCTCCTGGCAGAGCTGTAAGCAGAGCTGTGGTTAGTTAGATCTATCTCTGTCTCCTTGCACATTTCACTCGAATGACTTTGTGGCTAATTCTGCTGGAGCCTCAGGGAACTTAGCAAATGCATGTCATAGATGAGGAGTTGGCTTACAGCTGGGATCGTGACTACGAATACAGCAAGCAGTTAGATGAGAAGCAAGACTCAGACCCAGATGAAATTTGTGATGCTTGAAGAGGCATGGGCAAGAAACAGGGAAGAGCTGATGCAAGAACTGAGAGTACCTGGAAGTTACCCAGTAGATTTCATAGGCAGGGAGCTGTTTGTGTGAACTTTGATGCATAACCAAAGACTAAATCTATGTTGCTTCTTGATAAACACCACCAAAAACCTCCTCCTAGAAATTTAAGAGTCTCGATGCTTCTCTCTACCAAGACGAATGTTGTTTGTTTTTTTTTTTTTTGTATTTGTTGTGGGTTTTTTATTTTTATTTTGTTTGTTGGTTGATTTTTTTGTGTCTAATCACAATATGAAAGAAGCTAGAACAATAGTGGAGGTCAAAACAATTGTTTGAGAATTATATGTTGCTCACTTTAATTGTTCCCTTTGAAACACTGAGATTTGAGCCCTTGAAGTGATCCCAATAACTTATTATTCAGAATGCAATAGCCCTGGAAGAGAAAATGGGAGACCAGCCTAGAACAACTACTTTAGGTAAGGATACTGCAATTAGACAATACTGGAATTGGGATTTGAACCTGGATTTAGTAAACTTGAATGAGATAGGTGTTTCTTTTTCCACTCTTTTAAAATTCAGGATGTAAAATATGAAAAAATTAACTGACATCTAAAAGTGTTTGTTACTTATAAATCACTTAGTTTCCTAGTAATTTAAAATGTCCTGGCACCTACCATCACTAAGTCATGAAAGAATCACAAAGGTGGAAAAATGTAATTTTCCTCATTCTACTGCTGGGGAGGAAGTGAAGCAGTTTATTAAAGGTTGCAGATGAGTCAGTGATAGAGAGATTTGTTTAGTTCTTTGAGCCTTGGCTTTTGGGCTCCTTCAGCACCATTTTATTTTTGTGCATGCATGTGGGAAAGGAGAGAAACAGGTTAGAGGAGGAGACAGAGAGCAACCCATGTAATGATGCAAAGATGGAAGAGGTAAGTGAAGTCTGGGCTGGATCATTGCCTAATCTGAGATAGGGATTAGCCTGGAAGACTTAGGATAAATTAGTGTAGCATTGCAACTTTAATAATTTGTAGCATTAGGCCAATATATGGTGTTTTTTTTCCAATCCTTAACTGGCATAATAGAGGGTAATGGCCTCACAACTGCTTACATGTGGCTGTCTGGGCTCCATGTAGATCTTGATGCCAGAGTCTCATGGTGTGGGCAGGGTTTGGTCCAAGTACCACAGCCAAACAGAATGACTTACATAACACTTGTATATTCTGTAGTAATTTTCTTGTCCTTATTTGATAGTTCATAGATTTCAAGTCTTTGTAGCCCCTGGCACAAAACTAGAGAGTGGGCCTGCTACCCTGCATTTCTGCAATGACATCCTTGTCCTGGTGAAAGACATTCCTCCCAGTGTCATGGGGCAGTGGAAGCTCTCGGATCTGCGTCGCTACGGGGCTGTCCCGAACGGATTCATCTTTGAAGGAGGCACCAGGTGCGGCTTCTGTAAGTACAAATGGAACCTGTCCTCCAAATACTGCTTGATGCCTTTTGCAGAAATGTAAATGCACTCTCATTCCAAGTGGAGACTGCAAAACCAGCTGTGCTACTTTGTCAAACAGGCAGCCTCTTATCAGAGGGTCTGTTCTGACTAGATTTCTGCAGGCTTCAACCCTGGTGTTCAGGAGAAATGTGACTGTGTGCAGTCCTTGCTAAAAATTGCCCTGTGGCTCTCCAGAAGATGTTTAGTCAAAAGCTGCTATTGAATACAGAGCAAAAATAAGGTAATGAAATTTTATGGCTTGCGTTATGGAAGAGATAAGGTAAAATGGCTTAATGTTCAGATCATTAAATTGTTTGTTGAGGGGAAAGTGATGTGGAACTTTGAGGTTACAGGCATCATCAATGTTCTCATTTTGTAAATGCTAATTTCTAAATCCCATAGAGGATTTTTTACTCCTTAAAGTTAGAACAACTTTCTGGTCCCTTCCCTATTAGCAGCTTTGTAACTGTGGGGTGGAACCATGTGATTTTTGGCATCAAAATGAAAGCAAGCAAGCTGAGGCTAGTTTCCATAGCCTAGTGGCTAAGATACACCATTATATGGAGATAAATCTCTTGTTCCCGTGGCCGGTTTAGAACTTCTGAAATTTTCACTTCAGATAAAATGTGTGCAAGATCTGAAAAGGATAGTTAATAAATGCACAAGTATAAGAACATATAATTAGGTTTTTATTAATAAGGTTTTAATTTCATAAGCAGAATTTGAAGCCATGCTGATTTGATGGCCTGCGAGCACAGATGCATGTGCAGATTGCCAGTTTGGATCTGAAGTTGTTTGACTTGCATACTTTTTTCAATAAACAAACTGAAAAATTAGATTTCAGAGTTGATCCAATTCCAAATATATTCTTCCTGGGACTTGCATACTGTTGCTCTGCATGTAAATTCTGGTTGCTCTACTTCTATGGAGTGGAAACCCAAATTCCTGACCTCTTTCTGACCTGATGGAGGGTGTGGCCAGGTGGGGATTGGTCTCTACTCCCAGGCAACAAGGGACATGATGAGAGGAAGTGGCCCCAGGCTGTGCCAGAGGAGGTTTAGGTTGGGCTTTGAGAGGAATTTCTACACAGGAAGAGTTGTCAAGCATTGAAATGAGATGCCTGGAGAGGTGGTGAAATCAGCATCCCTGAAGGTGTTTAAGAAATGACTGGACATGGCACTTAGTTGACATGGTGGTGTCTAGTCAAAGGTTGGACTTGATTATGTCAGGATCTTTTCCAGCCTCAGTGATTCTGTGAAATGAGGAACTGTAGGTGATGGAACCTGAATTATTTGTGGTGGTTTTTCTATTTTTTCCTCCCATAAACTTACGCTAGTTTCTGGTGAGAAACAGGAGGTCATCAATAGCTCTCCTATGTACATGCTTTTAAAAATATGAAATTATTATTTTTTTAAGGTTACAAGTGAACAGAATTAGAAAAGTGCTTTGTAAAAGGTCCCACTACCTGTGGATCATTCTTAAAAAATGTGTGTGTTGATAGCTGAGACCTTTCAGTTGCCATGAAAGGTTATTTGTCTTTCCCCTGCATGTGTGCATTCAGAGAGAAGAACAGCATAGTCAATCATAGTCAATTTGGTACAAAATAGCCTGCCACAGTTGGAAACTCTTTACAAGTTCAAGCTGATCTTGTTAAAGGAGTTGTTGCCCCTAACTAAGCAGTCAAATGTATCCGCAGGCATAACAACATTTAAATATGTGTTTAGTCTAAACACTTGATTTAATATTGCCACTATAAGAAAAGGCTTTTTGAAAATAGAACCTAAAGAAAAATATAACTCTGGTTATTCTAGACAGAAGTGTGTTGGTAAAGAGAGACTATCTTTGTTCAGATATCTTTTACCTCAGTCCTCTGGAATTCTTGAAGCAAACAAGTAGTGTTCAAGAAAAAAAATTTATATGTTATTACAGAAGTTTTAATTCCTAAACAAAGCACTCTCCATTACCCTGTCATGTAAGTGTAATATAATATTATGCAGACTCTATTATTAATGTTACTTTCCTACAGGTTAAACCGTATCTTTGCTCACATTCATCCTGTGGAGCTTGGAATGCAGAGGATTAGTGAATTTAAGGTTTAAATAGCACTGTAATAGATACCTAATTAAAAGGAACGAATAATCTTGTGGTTTGATTGCCACTCCATAATAAAAGACATGAAGCCTCAAACTGAAACAGAGCTTTTTTGGATATGTCTGTGGTAGAACTGAGGTCTAAAAGGATACGAATTTGTTTTAGCTTTGTTTCTTGTTCCTCACAAAAATTTTTATAAAGATAAAACACTTCATTATGTTCTGTTGCATAGTACAGGTTTAATTCAACTTCAAAGGTTTTGGTACTCAATCCAGGAAGAGGGAAACCATCTGAGATAATGCTGGGATTTCAAGCATTAAATCTAGGTGCATTTTCAAGATGGTTTATTCATAAATAGGAAGAAGTTTATTCAGAAGTTTATTCACAAGTTTATTCATAAATAGGAAGAAGAGCATTTACCTTCTGAACTCCTCTTGCTCTTAAAATCACAATTGTGCTGCTATAGATTAAATTTTTTTTTTCTGCTTCTGAAAGCTGCAAATAACTTATTTTCTGGGCCAAAACTTTGTTCTCTCTGTAGCTGAAGCTTAGTCACACACCGTTTGCAAAAAAGCTGGTGTCTTGGCCTAGCAGTCAGTTGAGAGGTTTACATGGAGGAACAGGCTGGAAAAAAGGAGCCTCTCACTTTCCCAAGTTCCCAGCTGAATTAGCGGGCACCAGTTAAAATGACCAGTTGCCAGGAGAATCTTCACTTGGAGGTCAGTGTGAAAAAAATCAAGTAGGGTAATAAAAGGGCACATTAACACCATGAGAATTCAGGCTCTCCAATGTTCAAGTGCTTCAGGATTAGCTGCCAGAGCCAGGTTTAAAGCTGCCTCATATTTTCTGACAGCATCTCCTTGAGGAAAGGAACTTGTGGGACCCTTAGTGCCCTTTGAAAGAACAAATGCTAATTGCAGGATAAGCAGGAATATTTCTGTGATTGTTTTGGTGTTTTGATAAAATTTGGTACTTCCTTCCTTCTTTCCTTTCTTGTTTCCTCTTCTGAATTTATTTGAAGTTTGGAAGTAATAGGGGTGGTTAAACTGTGGCAAGATCTGGAATTTTTGGAAAAATCCTGGGTTGCATAGATTAAAACTTCTGTTTATATGCAGATATTCTGTGCTGTCTCCTACTTAGGCCTACTGCAGGCAACCAACATTATCTCTATTTATCTATTTTTAGTTGTCATGCCCATATCTTGGCAATAACAGGAATACTCTGTCATTTTCCCCGCAGAGAAGAGCGGTGTGAGGTCCCCTCTTAAGGGGTCTGCTCAAGGCCAGGGTTGGGATGTACATGCTGATTGCCATGGAATGAGCTGCTGTGGTTCCTGCCTGTCGTGCAGCTAAAAGGCTTCAGGCTCTAGTATTGTCTGACACCTGTTAGAAGTAGTGATTAATGGGAAAGAACTGAGTCTTCCTTCCTACTTTCACACACACTACAGGGATTGAAGTAATTTTTAGCTATTGACCATTTTTAAAGTGCTTTTGCCCATGGGTTTGCTTTTTTAATATGATGGGTTAAAATCAACATTGGCAAGATTAAGTAGTGTTTGGAAGTGTCCTGCATGTTTGAGGGACTGTACAATGCTTTACTGCTGGCTGCCACAGAGGACTGGCTGAGTGTTTCAGTCTTGTGCAAGTGGTTGGAGGCTGCTTTTCACCAAGTCTCATAGCCCATGGAGAGAGCTGAGTGAGCCCTTCAGTCTGGTGAACAGCTGCATGGTATTACACTGTGCATACCACACATTCCTTGGCTTCTAAATGCCTGTGCACCAAACCAGTTCCAACACATGACTGAGATTTGTAATTTCCAGTAGTGAATTTCTCAATTTTCTCAAGAAAGGAGAAAAGAAATGTAATCACTTGCTTTTATGTATGCTTTAGTTAAGCCCTACCTACTCATTCATCTCGCTTGATGTTTTTTGCAAGAACCCTCAGACTTCCTTCCCTTGCAGTCTAGTTCTACCTACCAAAACTAGAAAGAAAATGTTTCCTGTGAGAGTCAGTCAGCAATTAAGGTGCTCATACGAATAATAGAATCTACAAAGAGATTGCCTTTTTCTGTTGGATTTGTATCTGCATGCACATGGACATACACTCTTTGCACTGGTTATATAAAGGTCATCACATTTGGTTTTGGGATTTCCAAATGGCTGATAGTTTTTTGCGGAAAAAATCCTTTGAGTTAAGCAGCCAGCTCACATGTACACATTTACTTTCTTTGTTTCCATTAAAGTCAAAGGCTTGAAGAGCCTCTTAGGAGTTTAAGTAACTCTTGACAAAGGTGATAAAAGAATGAAGTGGTCCAGATGTAGTCCTTATGTACAGAAATATTTGAGGAATCTTTTTTTTTTGCCCTGAGTGGCAACAGGGAGATGTAGGATTCTGCTGAATTATCAAGCCACATAGTGTATCACTGTGCTTGAGACCTGAATGTCCTCTGCTATGTTGTGTCTATATCCTGCTTGCTTTTGCTGCATAGAATGAAAAGGTCCTGTTCCTGTAGATTCTCTGTACTCTGTTCAGGGAGGAGAAGTCAGCTCAAAGAAAAAGCTGAATTTCAGATAATTCCTGAATGCATTGCACTCAGGATTTTTTAATCCTAATCCAATGTACTCTGACTTTGGCATCTCCTGTGGAGTGGAGGTGGGGCAAGACTGCAAGCGAGTCGCCAGCAGAAACCTTCATATCTGTCAGGCTGTGTGATTAGTGTTGTAGTCTCCTAGATGGCCTCTGATCAAGAAACCAGGGTGTGTTCATGTTTCTTTGGCTGCAGAATTCTTGGTAGGTAAGATCTGAAGAGATGCAAATGTGATGGAGAAACAAATCAAGTTATTAAGATGCCTCTAACCATGTTGTCTTGAATAGATTTAAGCAGAACTGGGAGAGACCTAAATGTGGCATAAATTGAGAATGACAGAAGAGTGTGGACCAGGATATGTTTTTCCTAGAGAGATTAGTTTACTGCTTGCTGGTTATACCTAATTCACTCAAATAGGTATTGTGGTTTGTGGTCCACTCTCCATTACCCTTTTTGTTTGAATCCCACAGCCCTTTGTCAAGCTGTCAAAAGTGTATCAATTTCTTAAGTGAAATGTGAGTATCCTGTTGGATATGACGGGGCGTATGTTTGGAAAGTGATGGGGATGAAGCCATTCTAGTCAAGATCAGTTCTGCTTCTTTGAGTAAAATTGGAAAAAATACTGATGCAAGTTGGAATTGGCTAGAGACATGCAGAAGTCAATTATGTCCAGATTAGGGCCTGAGTCACAAGGAAGGTAATGTGCAAAACCCTGCTGCAGGTCTAAGATGTGATATTGGAGTTTTCTAGTATGCTTGGCTGTGGTGAAGTGGCAGCACTTCTTCAAGGTCTATATACTAACTTAATTTCCCTTTTTGTCTGGTATTGAAGTTTTATTTCCCTGAAATTGCTGGTTACTGGGATGGTGTTTTGTCTGATGTTTTAAGATAATAATTTTTTTTTTCCCTGATGAGATTTATATTTGGACTAACAATTTGTAAAATGTTCTGTGGAGCCCTTCTAGTCTTTTGTGTTGTTCATATGTCATGTGTCTTGGAGCTCATAACTTGTTTGTTTATTTAGTGAATCTCATTCTAATTTTGCTTGGGGCTATTCTTAATGAATGGAAAGCAAATATCAGAATAGAGCAAAGGGTAAAGATCTGATGACAACCTGTGGAGTTGTGTTACGTTCTGTTAATAATAGACACATAGGACTTAGTCTAGGAAAATTTATACTATAATCCAGCAATATAACCAAATTCTAATTTGTTGGCATATAAAAAGCTCCTCTTGCTTAAAAGTGGTTAAAAGTAGAATTAACTTGGTTCATTATTTTGAAGACACTTTAAGTATTCCTGACGCTTCCTGCACAGTTAAGTCTGAGCTACAAAATTTTAGGGGTAAATAAGAACAAAAGACCTAGACAGCTGTTGAGAATAAGGTGTCTGTTTTGACATTGAGGGGGGATTGGAACTAAATGATCCTTAAGGTCCCTTCCAACCCAAGCCATTCTATGATTCTAGAACACTACTTTAACTGCCTGAATGTCATAAAATTAGCATAAATTATTAGACAGCTATTGAATTTATATGTATGTTTGAGGTATCGTGTGTTTGTGCTGACCTGAATTTTTTATTTCTTTTCCCAGGAAAATATCTTGTTGACTTCTTTTCATGGCTTGCACTTAAATCTCTTTTAATTGCTGTATTATAAATAGCTTCAGCTAAATTTATTTCTGGTGTTTCCAGGTGAAAATCCTACATATTTATGTTGTGCTTTCTTGCAGGGGCTGGTGTTTTTTTCCTGTCTTGTGCTGAAGGGGAGCAGATCAGCTTTCTGTTCGACTGCATCGTCCGCGGCATCTCCCCGACCAAAGGCCCCTTTGGTCTGCGTCCAGTGCTCCCAGGTTAATACAGGAAGTACAGAGTAACCCAGTGAAGCAGGAGCTTGTCATGTCTCACACCCACTGCTGCTGGTGTGAGAGCAGCTCTCAGACACTGAGGGTGTGCAGAGTGCAAAGTGGTTTTCATTCTGAAATGTCACCGTACAGATTTATAAGCTGGATGTACCCAGTTTCCCCCTGCTGCTCTGGTTCATTTATGTTTCTGGTTATATTGCTAACTCCAGCCTTCTCTTATTTAACAGTACTGAAAGATGGCAATTTGAATTGCAAGGAATCCTAGATTTTTTAAACTTACACATTTAACTTGGATCCAGGTCTGCATTGCTATTTTGATAGTTTAATGGAAAACTAACTTCTGGAGCATTTTGAGTTTATCCAAAACTAAGTTCTAAGTCTTGTCAGCCTTAGAAAACCTTGTCAAGCCTCCACATCACATTTAAGTTTTCCAACTTAAGTTTTTTTCCTGATGTCTGAGGATTAAATTCCTTTTCCTATTTTGTGGTAAGTGCTGCATGTACTGCAATGTTCAAAGGTGGCATCATAATAAAGCCTATTTCCTTTTGATTTCAGCAGATGAAGTAAAGTATTGAGTCAGAATGACTGTCAAACAGGACAAAAGTGTAGAAATGAGATTGCAGAAAATTGGCTGTGATTTGGTGGTGGCATACAGTAGGAATAAGTTGCAGAAATGGTGAATGATGAGCTGGGATTTGTGCAATACTTACAATTTGTGTAAATGTTAGGCAGTTAATAAGTGTTCAACAGGGTTTTATTGCTGTTATAAGGTTAAGATAATTGCAGGAAGGAAATGTGATGGAAAAGATTAGATCTTTAGCTTATTAGATCTTTAGATGATGAGAAGCTTGTGAAAATAAATTATGAAAAAGTAGCTATTAGTTAAAAATTAGTAAATGCAGTAAACACAAGTTCATGTTGTCTCTCTCCTGATTGTAAGGCAGAAGTAAGTTAAATAATCAAGCAGAATAGTAGGCAAAAGTCATTCTTGTGTGATGATACATGTTTGCTTTCAATTAACTGGAGTGTTTAAATAAAGAAGCAAACAGAAAAAAACCCAACAACAGAAACACAAAAGTCAGTGTTTATGCTTAAAGCTTTGCTATTGAACACATTTTTCTGCATATCTAAAACTATGTGTGTATGTAAATATATGTATACAACCCCTGAGTCTTGTCAAACAAAAATTTCTATCTGGAAAAAATAAGCATACAAACAATTATTCTGCTGTCTTTTTTTTTAATTATTATTTTGAATTTTAATTTTAGCACAGGTTTTGAAGGTTCATTTTTGAGAAGCATGTAGGAGTAAATCTGCTTTCATATGTTAGTTATCTCTTCTGGTGTTTGTGGGTTGTTGTGCCACATACCACAATCTCTTCCCTCCTTCAGGAACTCTGACCTCACTGAGGTGCATGAAGTGGATATGGAATGTCCTGGGGAGTATTTGGTGTTTTTTGTAAGAGAAGATCTTTTCCCTGAGGTTTTTCCATTTCTCCTCTGTGCTTGATGTATTTACAATTAAAATCTCATCCACTTGATTCCATCTCATTTCCCTGGACAGGAGAAGTGTTTTGTCAAGAGTTGTGCTCGTGTACTTGCAGACTCCTTTGCCTTTATTTATCTAAGCTACCTTGAGCCCTCTAATTTTCATTCCTGTGTATTTTACCCTTTTCTCTTCCAGTTTGTTGTTTCTCCCTATGTACACATTCCTTGGGAAAAAAAAAATATTCTTTATTTATTATCCCATGCAGAAGCTTGTACAGATCTGTTTAAGGCACACACTGATGTACAGTTCTGGTGATTCATCCATAAACTAATTTTCCTTATCGAGTGTGTTGTTACACAGAATGTACTGTATTGCTTGAAAAGGTCGAGTCTACCAGCTACACACCATGTGTCAGGTATTGAAATTCACTCAACCTTTGAAAACATCAGCTTGTAAACAGATTAATTATCTGTACACTTCAGGCAACTAGATCAAAACTTCCAGATTGGGGATTCTACCAAGAAACCTCTTGTCTATTTAATTCATATTTACTGCAGTGCAGAATGCTACACAGCTTCAACTGTACTTTATGTATGCAATATTCTGCTTCTGTGCAATTTAAAAGCTTTTAGAGAAACCTTCTCTTCACAGTTTGCTACTTGAATTTGGCATCTTGCCTTTGCCTGTGCCTTTCCAACTTAAACATGAGCTATGCTTGAAGCACTGTGGTATTTTCAAGCAAGGAAAACACACAAAGGGCAGATGTACAGAGAAGGAATGTAATATGGTAAAAACAGTCACAGTGACAGTGTTGGACACCAACTCCCACAGTACAAATATAATCTATAGCTGTTATGCAATCAATGTAGTCTGTCCTTGTCTTTGTAGGAAAGATGAATTCATGAAGCCAGTTGCTTCATGTATGAGCAGCTCAACAATAAAAGGGGTGCTGAAATATTTATGTGTTATCATGATTAGGAGTGTTATCATTAATAGGAGATGGTAGAGAATGGTTTGAAGAGGACTGAAAAATGACCAGTTTTCTTAATTGCTATAGAGATTCTTAAACAAATGTAAAATAGCCAGTATCCAAATGAAATTGGAAACTGGGTGTGCAAGGGGTGTTTGCTCAAGGACAATATTCACATCTTCTTTTCAGGATTGCAGTTTTAAAAACTATACCTTATTTCCTTAAAAGCATGGTGTTCTTATCACATGGATATATGACTGCTGTACGTATTTTATGATGTCATCTATAAAATATGCAATGAAAATCCAGTGCAGTGGAACTCATAAACTTGACTTGCCCTTGCAAGGTTCCACAATCTGGTCTAATCTCTCAGCAGACCAGCTTTGAGCAGCCAGTCAGACTAGAGAACTCCTGAGATCCCCTCCAAAATGAATTATTCCATGATGTTTTGGAAATGAATTAAATTACTATTCTTGCAATAAAAAAAAAAAAATTCTATTATGTGTACACCCAAAATAAATTGGAAAAGGAAAAGAAAATTGGATGTTTTATGGTTTGTTACTTGTCGTACTTATTTTGGGAGTCCATTAACTTTTCAAAATTGTACCTCAGTAGTCCTATTGATATCCATTAGCAAATTGGAGGTTTTGATTTGTTAAAAGCTGTGTGATCAAGTCTCATAAAACCCCTCAGAGACATAGAAAATAGGAATGTGAAGGTCATGTAGGTATAGGTATCTGTAGATATTTTTAGGAAGTGTAATATTTTAAATTCAGGACTTGAGTGGTGGCTATGGGTGGCTTGCTTTCCCCAGCTGTTAGTTGGAAGAGAAGTGTTGTAACTGGCTACTAGCATGATCTCTTTTTTTTTTTTTTTTCCCCTTGAAGAGATATTTAGAAAACAGTCCAGAGAATTTACATTCTGTCTTGACAGAAGTCTAGATATGGACTTAGTAATGAATCTCTGATTGCAAGATTTGTAATCTATACTGAATTGCGTGTTTATTATTTGAGAGATGTTTATCAGGTGTGTGTTGAGCTCCTTTTTTTCACTAGCAAGATTCATCAGTTGAATTCCAAACCTGAGCACAGCAAAGGCCCAAGAGCCCATCAGGGATATCTTTGATCAGTGGGCAGACCAGTACTCTCTCTTTCTGATTATGTGACAGTCTAATCCTGCAGTCTGGAAAGAGCCCAGGTGTAATGTTGATAGTCTGGATGCTCTCTTTTAATCTGGAAGCTTCTTCAGGCTGCTTTGTGACTGACTGGAGAGCATACAGTTGCTGCTTGCTGAGGATCCATCTGATGCTCTTTCTTTTTGTTGAAACTCAATACTCCTTTGGCCATTGCAAGACAGCTCTGTGGCTGCCTTCTGCAGTATTTTTACCAAATAGATCCTCTTCAGACTTTTAGGACATCTTTTCATTCCTCCAGACATCTTACTAGGTGTGGAGATGTTAGCAACCTGGTGAGGGTCCAGGCCTGATTTATAAATGTGCCTACAGTTACACTGGAAGAAAGAAAAGAGATTTTCAGCCTATCTTATTTAATTTTGTTTAACAAAGTAATTAACCAGTGTTGCATTTTAAAGGTGCACATAATCAATTAGGTAGCTGCTGACTAAACTGGATACAATACATTTTTCCCTGACAGGTGCTTATTGAACAATGCTGGAGCTTTGAATTACTATGACACTTTATTCGTATGTTACCAAAATATTCTAAATCTCCCACGATGAGCAGCTGATGTGGCTTTAATGAATACCCACCAACGTAATGTAAAAATAAAATCTCCAGCAGAGGCATTTTTAGTCCAGCTAAATTTGATGTAATCCTTCCCCTTTGCCCCAAAGCAGTGTTTAAGATTTCGATGACTGCCTCACACAAAAGATGATTTTCTTCATAGCATGGGATCCATGTTTGATTGGAAAATGATAAGAAAAGTATTAATTGAAGGACCTGAATGAATCACAGGACAGGATCCATTTGTTAACAGTTTGTGAAAGGAAGGTGCTAATTGTTCTTGGAGCTGCTCTCGGATGTTGTGTGGGCAGAAGCTGTTGGACTTCCTTGGACAGCTGTCTCAGTACCGGTCATGCTGCTTCTGTCCCCCTGAGTTACTAACATGGTAAATTGCCACCCAGTTATTTAGAGGTTTTGTATTGGGGCATGCAAAAGGTAGAGGATGATGCCAATAAGTCCAACTTGTAGCATTATGGCCTAAAAAATGTATTAAAAAAAGGGTTATCACAACAGCACTCATGGGAGTCATAGGTTATGCACTCCAGTGAGGACTGGTCCCTAAAAGGTGGCTGCCAGTGACTTCAGTCCATAGTCAGATCCTGTTGGAAAATGTCCTGATTAGAGCTTGGTCATCTGTAACCAAAAATACTGGTACAAGAATCTGTTACTTCTGGGGATTAATTTGTGTGTGTTTTCCATAGAAGTCTGGCTTATTAGCAGAGAAGATTAAAGATGAAAACTAAAACTTAGGTAAGACTGATAGGTAAAAAACTTAGACTGTGTGTGTTTGTCAGGTTTTGAAGTTATTTCTCTTGGTATTTCCTAGAATTTGCTGAGGAAGGTTCTTCTGCTTAATCTTCCACTGGGTAATGGAAGCAGCACGTAACTATGAACACAATTTTATACAAATGTTTTATCCATAGGCAATCTTTAAGGGGAAGTTTAACAAAAAAATTACCAGTTCTATTGGACAGACAGTATGCCTAGAGCTTCCATGTTGTTGGGTGAAACCTGGTGTGTTTTGTGGCTGTGCAGCTGATAGGGAATTTGGCTTCTGGAAGCAATTGAACATGTGAAGTGCAAACTTTATGACTTGGACTTCCCTCCTACCTCATCTTGTATTTTATTATAAGCCAATTTTATAAGATCAGTTGTTTGACCATTTTTTTTAAAATTGTATCTTTTGCTGTCTGTAAGAGGGACATCATTTACTTAAGAAACCTAGTTGTTGTGTAGGTGCCCTAGTTATGTTTTGAAAATCTGTATTTGTCAAGTAGTCATATTCTGAGGAAAGTGAAAGGACCTTACCTATTGAGAATTCTTTGGTGTGGGAAGGGTTAGTGTCTGTTTGCATCTTTGACCAGTTTGCTGATCTGTTATGACAACTTTGTACTCAAAGTGTTTGTAGAATATCTTGGACCTTTTTTGGACATAAGGCATTTAACTAGATGCAGCAAAGTAACTGGAGGAGAGGACATTAAAAATAGGCAGCAGCTTGTAACACTGTATGCTACTGAGCAGATCTTTGCATGGACCTGTCTGGGTTGCACCATAGGTGCTGGTGGCCAAATGTTGAGTTTTCCTTTGGCAGAGGTCCATATGGAAGCACTGGGGGTTTCATTTGAGAAAGCAGTTGCAAAGGTTTGAACTAGTCAATGTCTAATGTGAACTACCTTGCAGTGTAAATAGGAATGGACATCTAGCAAAATAATCCACATCAAACAGTCCTATTTTCTGTCTGAGCTGGGACACACAGGGGTCACAGACCCTGTTTGTCATGGGCATTGTTGCCTTGTCCCTGTTAGAACACCCTTGGGTTCCAATGTGTGTTGTTACAGATGGATTGTGTATATCTTGGCTTTTCTGCTCATCTTACCCAGATGGCAGTCTGCAAAAGATGGAAACCTCCTTGACATGGGAAAGAAAAGTTAGATAAAGTTCAGCATTGTCATTTCTGTTCCTACTAGGACAGGTCAGAAAGGGAATTTGATTAGGGAGGAGGGATGTGGCAGTTTGTTTCTTGGGGCAGTTGATAATGTAGGGTGCTCCCATGGAGCTTTAGCTGAGCTTGCAATGCTCCTTCCCCTGATTATGAGCTTGCTTTGATTGCTGTGTTGACAATATCAAAACCAAGTATTTTAAAACTAAAAGACCTGGGGTGAAAATGAAACTTTTCTTTTGTCTTTACAACTGGTTTTTGTCTCTCAGTCACAACAATGTATAGCCTTTCTTATCCCTTTTCCCTCTCTTATTAAATGATTCAGTGTTTTTGTGGTGTGCTTCTACTGCCCATTTGATCAGATATACAAGAACAGCAGTTGTGAGGAAGCTAATCTGTTTTCGCTGTCATTAATTACTTTCCCTGTGTATTAATAAGAATTACTGAAGTTTCTGATGATGAACAAGTTAGCAGACCATATCCTTTGCAACTGCTGAACCTGACACACTCATCATTGCTATTTGAAGGAATCTGTAAGGTTTCTCTTGGGGTAATGGTTATGATTACTTCCAGCATCTGGTTTTATTGTTATGCCTGCTGGAAATAAAATGATTTAGAGGAAACTGGCCTGTTTTACTGATGAGACTTCCACATTCTGTTTAACTTTTGGTCTTTCTGCTTTTTTTGGAATATAATGAACTGCCTTCAGTGAAATAATCTCACCTGGAATGGCAAGCTCACTAAAATGTATGGGGAAAATCCCTAACAGTACATTGTAGAAGTTATATCATCCTAACATGTCTTGTATTCAGCATGAAGACAGAGAGCCACCAGGCTGCTTATTTTATCTCTGATGTCTGAACTTAATGACCATCTGAACATCCAACTTGAAAGCAAAGTTTTTTGGATGATTTGGATTGGAAGATGTCGTTTAATCCCTCTGATTCTGACTTTATGATGTAGATTTGTAAATTTCTAGGATAAAAAAATTTGGTCTTTCTGAATGTTAAAATTCCCAGTGAATCCAGTGAATTCAGGACAGATTTTATGTGGGTCAAATTAGTTTTCAAGTCCTCTAGACTTGCTGGATGCTAAATTTTTCTGTAGCTATTGACTTTGGTGCTGTGCTCTTCAGTGTTCTGTTCCTTGTGGTAACTGTTATAGACATTGGGTATAATCTCTGAAAATCTTTGACACTTTTAATTTTAAGTTACTGTGTAGCACATGCCCAGGATGTGCCTGAAATCAGATTGTCCCATACATTTTTCTCAGCAAATTGAATTTCCAATTCAAGCGTAAGAATGTAATTTTCTCCTTCTTTATTTTTTTATTTATTTTCCACATTACCTCCTTTATTTATTTATTTTCTGTTTCTTTTTAAAGATCCAAGTACAAACCCAGCCTATTCAGAAGAAAGATTGGCTCATGAAGCTTTGCAATTAGAAAAGCGCTTGAGCTTGCTGTCTCATACAAGTCGCCAAGGTAGTGGAGGTAAGAAATACCTTTAATTAAATAAAAATATTATGCTATGTTCCTTCCTGCCCAGGCTTTAAAATACTAGAGAAATGGTCAAGACATTTATTTGTTCTGTGTCTTGTGAGGCAGTTCTCAAGACACAGAACAAATACCAGCATTGTCTGAAGTCCTTTGATGTCGACTGGAGGTTTTCAACTCAGCAGACTTAGTTTTGAGTCAAACACTATTGACCCAGGAAGACCATTTAGGATGCTGAGTCCTACTGAATTTTTGCATTTAAAACTTAAAAAAGAACTGTCTTCATCAAATCTGATATCTGCTTAAGTACCTTACTCAGTGCAGCCTTTGAGATGGACTCACTTGTATGGGTCACAGGTCAGGCTTACAGCAGATTTTTGCAGTCGCACATAGGACTCCTGTACTTTCCTCTGCTATCTGTACATGCCTTTTCTGGAGTTGTTAGTGTGTCAAAGTAGAATTGGTGTTTAGCACAAGCCTAAAAATTGTCCCTGTGGAGATCCTCAGGAACTTCGTTATGTGCTTATATACATGTCCATGTCTGCTTTGGCCTAGACACTGCTGGGTAATGTGACTAAATTCTAATGAGACTTCCTGAGGTTTTTCTTAATTAGCACATAACTGCCAGACTTAACTGAATGGATGGAAAAACAATGAGACTTGATAGATAAGCATGCCTGTTTTTTATTTTTTTATTCAGTCCTTCTGGTCAGAAATCATGGCCCAATTTCATGCACAGTTTCTGCCTTTGTGCTACAAGAAAGTTTTGTATTTCTTTTGTATTTGTTTGGTTTTGTATTTGTTTGTTTGTGTGATGTTTGTGTTTTGTCCTTGTGCCCTTTCATGCCAATGTTTATTTTTTTTCACTCGTATTCTGTTTTTGATGGCAGTAATTACCTGTTAAAATGCCTTTCTTGCAACTATCATTGAAGAAAACTGTCTTGCAATATAGACATAAATGAATTGCAGAAGATATTTTTGTATATAGATATGTAAACATTTTTATAACAGCATTATTTTTATTTGTACAGTGATGTATGACTATTTTGGTACAGCAACCCAATTAACTGTAAGAAAGCAAAATATGTTTGAAAAGGGGAGAGCTTGGTGCATAAACTTTAAAAATTTAGCCTTGAATGCATTATGTTCCACAGCATGGTAGGGTTATGGCAAGGTGACATACCATTGCATTTTGTTTTTCCCGTGGGGCTGTGAGTTATTGTAGGAATTCTGGCTTTCTGACGGCAGTTCCACTTACAAAAAGCAGATGGAATCTCAGGGCCCTTCCTGTTTGTACATACTTGCCATGCTTGAGTCTGTTGATTGTGTTTTAAACGTAGGTTGGTGTGCTTCCTTCTTTTCTAGGAGATGATAGGAGTATTTCAAGCTCATCTTCGGATACCAGCCACTCGGATGTCAGCGTTGGGAGCAGGCTGACAGTGTGGCCTGAGCAGTCTTCGGCCAGCACCTCTCAGGAGAGCCATGGGCTGGCAGCTGCAAAGGGCATTCACCTGGGAGAAGAGAAGAACCTTCCAGAAGGGGCACGTGGCATCACTAAACCCCCTCCAAAGCCCCTCCGATCCAGACAGCTGCAGGAAATAGGTCGTCAGAGCTCTTCTGACAGTGGAATAGCTACTGGCAGTCACTCTTCCTACTCTGGGAGCTTCTCTTCCTATGCTGGGAGCTTAGACATTTGCCATGGTGATGAGTTTGGATCACTGCTAAGCTTGCCATTGAACTTTCCTTCAGATCAGAGTCTATGTACTTGCCCTCACAGTGAGTCCCAGAGAGGTGTGGGATCAGAGTATCAGGTTCCCAGCTCTCTCAGACACGTTTATGATATACCCAGGAGTGTGTTACAGGCAGCTTCTAAAGAAGTGCAACTGAAGAGTGCAGATTCCACGCTACCCAAGGACCAGGCCCTGCCAGCTCAAGGTGCCAGTGACCCAAGACTGCTACTACCACACTTGGAAGCACGGAGGGGACCTGAGCACAGCCAGCACAGAGGGAGGCCTTCATCTTTACTCACAGAAAGCAGCAAGGACTCAAGTGATGAGACATATGTGGATTTTGTTTCAAGGTGGTCAGACACAAAACCACAGGGACAGGTGTCAGACTCCAAAAGTAGTGAGCTGTCACCACCTGGTGGGGCTTCAGCTGACCCCTGTGACACATGTAGCCCCCACCTTGGGATGACCAGGGCTCTTTTTTCATCTTGTCCAATCTGTGGTGGACTAAAGGTAAATACCTAACACTGAGCGGATGCTAACAAACCTTAGTTAATAGAGCATGATTAATTTAAAGTTACCTAAGTTGTAGGTCATAAGTAATATTGTTTCCTTTATACTCTGAACAGGTAATAGCTTTTTCTGTTGTTTATGCTGAAATGGAGAGGCTTAGCACGTGATTTCCTCAAAATCTGTGCCTAGTCAAGGAAACACTGAACAATATAGACCACAACCATTACTTTTAAATTGGGCAATTTTGGCTTTGGGTACATGAAAGTGAAAGAGGAAAGTTTTGCAGCCACTTGATTTGTCATGTAATGGCAAGCAAGCATGAAAGACACTGACCTGTCTTGCTGTGGGTATTTACAAAGAAGGAAAGGAGGTTAAATAGTATATGCTGCGCTTAAGGAGATCTGAGTGCATACTTTTATTTTATTGATGTTTTTGTTTTCTTTGTCATTGTAGTTTGAACATACCTTGCACAAGAAGCCAGGTTAGACCCATTTCTCACTGGGGAAACACAAAATAGTCAAATCAGCATGGCAGTCTGGTTCTGTGACTGGCCAATGACAGGTACTTCAGAGCAGGTACACAAAATTTCACTAGCAGTCTACAAACAGGACAGTTTATTTGCAGAAAAATTTATTTTTGGTCACATAAAGACTTAATACCTAAACTGTGGAGGTTCACTTGCCTTTCCAAACACATTTGCCAGTTCTTGTCTTTTTAGGGGAGTAAGCTTTATACATTAATTATACATTGTATGAAAATGTATCTGATTTTATCCATGCTGGAGAAGATTTTTTTTTTTGGTGAATGTGTTTGCTAAACTTGAAGAAGGTAGAGCTGCTTGTATTAGTGAGCTTGTGAAAGGCTGGGAAGGTTAGAGGGAGTGCTTAATTTAGGGAATGTGTGAAGCAAGGATTCAGCAAGAGAGACTTCTGCATGAAGAATTAAACACTGCCATTGAAGTGTGTGCATTTAATTAAATATGAGATTACATAAACCACTGCTATGAAAAGGGCTTGAATGCCTTTTAGGTGATGAAAGAAAAAATTAAAAAGTTATAAATTTGAGGGCTTGTTTTCTTCTCATGAGGTGTTTCATGCATTTACATTGAGTGCCTTCACGTGTTTGCAAACTGTAAAGCTCTGTCTGCCTGGGCCACTTGCACAGCCCCATCACAGCACCTTGGATGTTACTGTGCCATGTGCCTGCAGCACTTGGCAGTAGGGAGGCACTTGTGGGACAAGTTTTCTAAGGCTGTGGTCAGTAGGATCAGTGATCTTCCAAGGCCATCCTTGCCAGCCACCTGCACCACGAGCCCTCTAGCCCAGTTCTGGAGGCCTGGCTGCAGGCAGTGGGGTGCACTGCCAACATCTGCTGTTGGCCTCCTGTGGCTGCTCCCTGTGGTCAGGGAGAATTTAGGAAAAATGGCCAAGACTGATTTCTGGAAGGGCTCTGCTTTGGGATTAGAAGGTTTAAAAGTGGCTTTGTTATAGAGAGGGAGGAAAGAGGTAATTCAGCTACAATTAGCTCATGTGGTCTAAATGTTTCTGCATGATCTGAATTGTTGGTTTAGATGTGAATTTGTCAGATCTTACTCTGGCTATCTGTGGAAGATGGGAAGCTGAAAGTGAGTGTTCCATTGGATATCTTCAAAATCATTAAAAGCTAAATTATGTCACTACAACTGCCTGTTGACCCCAGTGACATAAATACCCACATCCTTTATTACAGAGTGCTGTCAGGTTTAATGGTGTTTCTAGCTGCCCTAGTAAGTTGGCAAGAATTGTCTATACTTAAACAAATTTAGTGATAAACACTGGTGCAACCTTCTTACTGACTTTTGTTTTAGCATGAGATATGCATATCTGCTTTTTTTTTTTTAAGAACCCATTTATATGCAGTCACAAAAGAAGTCTCATTAAATGGAATGATTCATGGGTTTGTTTTTACTTTTGAAAGAAAAAATAACCCTTTGTGCAGTCTCTTGAACTGTCACAAATGAGTTATTTTAGCAGTATTTGATGGACACTGTCTTTGTTTCTCCTGACGAGTTCAGTGAAAGCACAAATTCACAGACTGTAACTAAAAAATAATTATTACTCCTTGTACTTTGAACAGAATATATTTAAGTTAGGGCCAGGAAGAGTTGATTTATGGATTGATGAAAACACCAGGTCTTCATGTTTATTCAAATTCACGTTCAAAAAGCTTTAATGTGCCGGTGTATGGAGTTCCTTTGCAATTTTGAGTTAAGCTGTTAATTAAATTGTGTTAATGGCTTTTAAATGCCTACCATTTAAAGTGACCTGTGTAGTGGAAAGTCTGCAGCAGTAATTAAGGCTATAGGCTTTTGTTTGTTTTGTGCCCTTTGGCACAAAAGGGAAATGGAGGTTAGGTTTGGGCATGTTGTGTGTGCATGTTGGGGTTCAGCATGTGAAGAGTTGGAGAGAGGTTGCAGGGTGAAGATGTGCATATGTGGAGGGCCTGGTGGGGGTCCTGATGGGGATTGACTTGTTAAGAACCACCTCCTCCTCTCATGACAAGGATGATGATGAAAACAGGGAGAACAGACCTGGGAAAGTGCCAAGGCTCAAACAGAAAATAGGGCAAGGAAGCCTTTCTGTCACTCTGCATGAAAAATACAACCAGCATGAAAAGAGTTACTAAATATTGCTTCTATTACTTGTATATTGTATTTCACATTAGACATTGGGGACTAAGAAGCAAGCATGCAGGGTGATTTGCTTTCTGTTGTACGTAATTGTGCTGTGCTCAAGACGTCCTTTACAGATTTCCAAGGTGTGCTTTTGCTATGTAATTTGACCCAGTTGATTTCAGTGCTGTAGATGATTGCAGAGGTGAATTAATTGTCTATTGTAAGTATAATTTAAGCTCAGAATTGATTGTTACAATTTCTGAGTAAGCTGTAGAGATTTATTATTAGACTTGACTTATTATGTTTTTAACTACTTAACTAATACTAATTTGATGAATAGAATTTCATTGTATGCTTCTTGCTTTGTAACTTCCTTTGATGCTATAGTTTGAGAAATGTCAACTTTTTTATAGGTTTTTTTTTTACACCATTGTTTGTAAATTTTCGTAGAAGTCTGAAAAATAAAATTATTTTCCAACTGGTTTTGTTCTTTTCCATCTGACAAGTTCTGGGTTTCATTTTGCTTTGCTTTTTGTCTCCTGACCTTCTTCTTGCAAGTTGAATTAATATGGAGTGTTTATGGCTGTCTCTTCATGCTACTTAGTGTAATACTCAAATAACTGTTGACAGCTCCAAATGTGTCTATTAGTAGTAATTACATTTATGTATGTCTAGCTCATGCTAAACTCATATTTATGTCAGTGGGAGTTCTTATTTATGTAGAAATATAGTCATGAGTACTGCTTTGGTAGTGAACTTGCTATGATAGAGGGGAAAAGAAGTTGTCAGTTTATGTGTGGCTGTTGTCATCAATCTCTCTTGGTATTCAGCCACCAACTTGAGTTGATGATTTTAAAATACCAAGGCCTCCTTGGGGACAATATGGTCCCAAATTAGGAGCTAATCTACCCAAATTCTCTGTGAGGTACTTGTATAATTCCTGCTACCACAGTGACTCTGTGCCTCCAACTTTGAATCTCCCAGCATATCTGTAGTAAGTGGAAATGTGGTGGTCTTGATGACTAAAAGAGGTTTTGTCAGGCAGCGTGATCCACAGCACTGAGAGGCTGAGAACCCTTCCCTACACAATCCAGGGAGGACTGGCACCTGCCTTGGGAGCACGTGGATCTCAGTTTAAGTGAGGACTTGGTTTGGCTAGGTGGTAGGATATTTAACTCTTTTAGTCTGTCCTGTAGAAACGGCTTTATTTTGCATTACAACTCCACGGGAAGGCGTGTGCATGCCTGGAGCAGGCTCTTTACTGCTGGGCTTGATCATGCAGCCCCACGTCCCCCTTTCAGAGCTGGATATCACCTGCAGCCTTGGGTGAGTGCAGAGTCTCTGGGTTCTGGAGAAACTGAATGTCCTTGTGTCCCTTGTGCATTGCAGACCAGGGAGAGAGACGAAGCCTAGGGAGAAGCACAGCTGATGTGACTTCAGGCAGAGAAGGGGCTGGAACTCTGCAGCATCCTACACTGACTTGCCTGGTAGTAATCTCACCAGGGTCATGAGCAGCCTGTCACTGGGTTAGGAATATAGCCTTAATCTTCCAAATCCTGTACCAACCCTTAACCATAGAGTTAGCTGGTGTTTTTCCTGTCGTTGTAGATGCTGCTTTTGAAAGTGGTGAAAGAGAAGGCCTGTAAGGTGTTAACTTTCTTAGTGAAATCTGAGAAATGGCAGCTGCATGACGACCTGGCCATATCTGTGTAACTGAGAATGTTTTAATTTTTTTTTGGCTTTTAATCAAGTACTTTTCTAATGTAGTACTAAAACAGATACTAAAGAAATCACAATGTACTGTTATCTACAACCTTAATTTGGCTATTATTTTCTGTTGGGAGTCATTACCTCTTTCCCCAGGAGACTGAAAACCTTATGTGTTTATCTTGTACTGTGTTTATTTCCATGCTTTCTCTGACAGTGTAGGAACATGATTATTTGTAATTGCACATCTTTTGCATCTCTTTTTTTACAGTATTGATGTGTGGTGCTGTAACATTTTATGCTTCCTCCCACCTTTAAAAAAGCTACAAGCTGTCTAAATTCTCAGCTGAGAAGGATGCATTTGTCATCTTCAAGAGCATTGTTGCTGCTTGTATTTCTGCTCTAATCTCAGAGCTCTGGGCAGTTGGGCTACACACTGTCAGAACTATAACAGGAACAGTTTGCACCTCAGAGGAACCTGTTATTATTGACCTGAATGATGTGTTTGTGAGGTTTCTGTGCCTGGGTCTTGCTGACTTTTTGCATGAATTAGAAAACTTGCTTTTGTGCTCTTTTCTTTCAAGATTTAATTCCACTTGTTTTTCTATGAGTCCTGACTGACTGTGATACATGAACCAGC